AAGGCTTTCTTTAGTACTCTAGAGCTTCTAAAAGAAGAAATTACTATAACACTAAAAGCTATAATTATAACTACTATTATAAAGGTATATTATTTTAAGGCTGTTTTTCTAAAAGGTACTAATATATACTATAGATTTATTATCTTATAATTAAGCTTAAGTATAGCCTAATAAAGGCCTAGGAATTTCTTAACCTTTAATAAATAAGTAAACTAAATATAAAACCTTAGTAGCTTATCTTTAATATTTAGATATACTAGAACTTTACTATACTTATATACCTTTATATACTTAAGCTCTAGTAGTATATTAATACTTATCTTAATATTTTTTAAGAAGATAAGTAATTCTAGCTTTTTAAAGATAAGTAGTAATAACTTAAAACTCTACTTAACGTTTTTAAGATCTTTTTTATCTTTACTAATTTACTTAGTAAAGATACACTTATAGATATTTTATTTACACTTAACCTTATAAAGATAGCCTATCTTTATCTTAAGAGGTATCTAACTATAATTTAGAAAAAAATAATATCTAAGAACTAGCACTAAATAGATTTATTATACTATATTATCTAACTTATTATAAAAAAGCTTAAAAAGTATAAAGCTTTATAAAAAGAAGATAAGGCTATTTATACTATTAGTCTCTTACTATCCCCCCTTAATAAAGGATAAAAGGAAAGCTATAATACCTAGTTTATAAGTCTTAACTATTACTAAGGCCTTAGGTAAAAAGCTATTACTAAAAGCTTTAAATAAGCCTATATAAAGACTTACTATATAAATATTCCTTAGAGTTTAGCTTCTTTTTTTTTAGTAATAAGCTAATTAATTTATAGTATTACTACTTAGACTTTTAAAAGCCTATAAAAGTAGGTATATAAACTAATACTTTTACCTCTTATAAATATTATATTTATAATAATCTTTATAATAATTACTATATTAATTTTTATATTAATCCTTATAATAATATTTATACTAATTATATTTAGTCTTTTATAGTATATTATAATACCTCTAAAGTAATTAGGAGTTTTCTTAAAAAATATAAGTAGAAATCTTCTTTATTATTACCTTACTAATACTACTAAGTAAATATTTAACTAAGACCTTTTTTAGTTTTTAGTGCTATATAGAATAATTTCTAAAGTATACTAGCCTTTACTAAATAGCCTATAACTTTCTTTATATAATACTAACTTTAGTACTACTAAAGTAAATATTTAGCTATAGTTAATACGTCTATTACTATTTACGTTTTAATATAGTAGTAAAGACTATTAAGGTATAGCTTATTTTTATAATTATATAGCACTAAAGGTAGTAGCTATCTTTTAGTGTCCTTAAGCTATTAATACCTAAAAAGTATTAGCTTACTAAGGTTATAAAGAAGCGTAGCTAAACTATTCTTTAAGGATTTAGCTATAAAGCCCTTATAGACCTTATAAAGTTATATACGTTTTAGTAAATAGTATAAATTAAGCTTAATTATAATATTATAGTTAAGGGATCTAAAGAGGTTAATACTAGTACTTAGGAGTTACTTCTTAAGCCTAGTTTACTAACGCTAGTATTAAAGCTATTATTACCTAGTTCTTAGGCCTTATTAAGCTCTTTTTTTATAATTACTTAGAGTTATAGCTCTTAGTTTAAGGGTCTTTTTTATCTTTAAGATAAGTCTAATATAGATAGTAGTAAATAAGGATTACTATTAAAGCGCTAAAAAAGGTAGATAATATATATCTTATAGAGATAGTTTTTAAATTATCTTTAAGTCTTTATAATAATCTATATATTAATTATAATTAATATTATTAATTTTTATAATAGCTATATAAAGTAAATTAATATTATTAATCTTTATAATAGCTATATAAAGTAAATTAATATTATTAATCTTTATAATAGCTATATAAAGTAAATTAATATTATTAATCTTAGTAATAGCTACCTTTAAGTCTTTATAATAATCTATATATTAATTATAATTAATATTATTAATCTTAGTAATAGCTATATAAAGTAAATTATATATTTTAAAGTGTATTTACTGAAAGGCCTAAAGCTAGGTGGTATATAAATTTAGAGGCTTATAATTTAGATATTTATAATATTTATCCTAAAATCTACTTTATAACTATAATATCTAGACCTATAATTAAAAAATATCTATTTAGATTTAACTATTTTACCTATAGATTACACTTACTTATAAAATCTATATCTATAGGATCTATTAACTATATAGATATATCTACTAGATCTATGGACTGTGTTATAGGGAAATCCATATAGATATCTATGGATATTTTTAACCCTAGACGTCAATGATGTATGCGTGTTCTTTGGGCGAGACATAAATTTGCATGATGGATACCGTACCCTCCCGGCACAGATTCTCCCCTTCAAGATCAATATAGAGTGCTGGAACTCCCCCGGATAGGTTGTCGAAAGAATCCACTAAATCAGAGATTGCCTCTGATGTATCGATGAGATTGTAGGCGGGAAAGGTGCTCATCTCAGTTATCTTGACGTGTTGCAGAACAGGCGTCGCCATGGCCCAGATTTCACGAGGCTGTCCAAGACCAGCGGGTCGATAATAGGAGCGAAGAATGATGGAATGAAAAGGATGTCGGAATGAAGTTGCAATATATAGCCTTCACCTAATTCATCTTGCCACCTTTTGAGTAGCTGACGCCATCAAATTACTTTTTTGTACGGTTTCACATTCACATGCAGCAGAAAGTCTTTGCCAGTCTCTCCAGAATTTTAATCTCGATTGCACATGTCATCGACCTCCGAGAATTTGTTTGCGTAAACCAGACTAACAGTTTCTTGAAGTGATGCTGTTTGCTATATGCCCTCAATGTAATAGTAATACTTGGCTAATACTGATGATTGCATGCCCAAAGGGCCTCTCAGCCTGTATCAATGGCTTCCCAACACCATTACCAGAAGAATGCAACGAAATATGTTTGTTTCAATGGAATATATATAAATCAACTCAAATACCTACTTAGGAACCACCCCCACATTTGCACCACCACTATTACCACTTATTTCGCCAGCCCTGCCGCCCATCTATATGCAACTTTATGGCAATCGTTGTGATGGTTGAAAAAAGTGGTGACGTTCAGGAATGAGGAGAGTTTGGGGTGGTGCAACAGCGGAGCTGGTGCAGAGGAGGGGTATTTGAGTTAACGTGGAAGTGAAGATAGTCGCCACGATAGCTTCATGCATTTCCACCTTATGTAACAGCACTGTCAGGTGCTTCATCACGTGGTGTTTCACATTCGTTTCCTATATATATGACTTCATTTTCGTTACCTTCACTTACATACAATTAAGCCTTTTAGACCCAGATCCTCATATGCCCTGCTGTTTGCTCTAACCCGTGACAATAGTAGTTCTACAATCGTTCTGCTCATGGCCCATTGACCGGCCTTACTGGCTCTTTACACAATGTGATTAGCCAATTCAACCGCGAAGCATGAATCATTTTTTCTTAATGCTGGCCTAATTACGAAGCTAAGTAGAAAGTATTCTGTTAATACGTGAACCCATCTCAGAAGCAGTGAGATGACTGAAGTACTATACGACAAGCGTCACAGAAAGTTTTACACTTCAAAAACAACTCTATTCATCAAAATGGTAGATTGTGCTTCTTGTGAACAACCACTGAGAGCTAACACCGTAGACTCATTTTGATACACGTCTCATATCTCCACTCTATCAAACAATACATGTATGACTCTTACTGTATTTGAGGGGTGGGGGTAGATAAGCAGGGTCTGGATGACCCCGCCGTGCGGCGGGCTCCGGGCCTTTTACTCGCTGAAGGGGAAACCGTAACTTAGCTCGACAAACCGACCGTGTGGGCGCCGATCGGCACGAGATTGTAAACCGGCGTTAAATCATACTACTATTGACGACAACTACTTGTGAGATTCATTGCGAGTCTAAGTTCCCTCAAAGCCATGCAGGAGACACTGGGCTGTTACCTGCAGACTGATACTAACCATGTAGGATGTTGCCAACATTATCAACCCAGCTAATGGTCTAGGTGCCAAACTGAGAATCTTTGTAACAAACACTATGTTTGGACTCGCAGCAGTGCAAGACTCCTTTGCAAGTTCAGTCATCAATTGATTGAACGCTTTTGCATGTGGTGTTCCGCTAGACAGAATATAATATATTATTCCCTATCTGCGGAGACCCTGCATCTTGGTTGCTGATGCAAGGGTCAGTCTTATCATTTCAGATCCAATGACGAAGCCGGACAAGTCTCATGATGTGACATGTCAATCTGAAAGGCCCCATAGCAGACACGGCATTCGAGGCTACTGGGTCGAAATGGGGGCGCGATGGTTGAATCACTATCACAATGCCCCCGTTGACTGCATGTGCCCGATACCCGCACTTCCCCAATCGCTTTTTTGTCATGGATCTATTGGCACAAGGAGAGCCCCTTTCCGTCCGAACTGTGGCAGATCGCGATTTCACGCACCTAGTCATGATCTTCTATTGTTGAATAATTTGTTGCCCTATTAATCCTGGGTGGCTTGCGGCCTGCAATATTGAAGCCCTAATCCCAGATGGGCTTAGATAGAATCCTTCACTGCAACATGGCCACACTTAACAGAAGCATTCGTGGCTACTCCTCTCAGCAGCAGGGATTCCCTGTCCCATACATGCCGACATTGGTCGGTTCGGTCTCACCCTTGCAAGTCCCACCGGGTTTCGCAGAGGTTTGTGGGCACAGATATTATCCGCCCATGGCCGTCGCTCGCATTCCTGCACCTTGATCTCGGACTCAATGCTCTCTCTCATCAGGCTGCTTCACCGAGGCTCGAAACGGCTGCCATTCGCCCCAGACCGGCAAATCGGTTGTCGCCAGCCCACGTCACTGGCTGACTCGGATTACGCAAACGAGGCTGGCTCGAGCTTTTACTCGTCACTGTCTCAGTTTAGCGCAACCGCCCGCCTAGAAGAACCATGGCTCGGAAGGGTAGCCGAAAGGTCCGAACGGGATGTCTAACCTGCAAGTAAGTTCCTGGCATAATAGTTCCTATGGATAGGTTCCGCGGCGGCTCCATATCGAAGGACCGACATGAAGACCTCGATCGGTGTCTAACCGGTCACTAGAGTTCGCAAGATCAAATGCGACGAGGCCAGACCGTTCTGCAACCGCTGCACCGTCACTGGCCGGAAATGTGATGGTTATCCACATGTTGCCGATTTGTCAGATGCTGCGTCGAGCTCTCCCGGCTCGTCCGTCATTCCTTTTCAACCTAGCCGCGCCTCTCCCGGCATCAACTCGCCTAACGACAGCCGCGCGTTGCAGTACTATTCGGAGGTCGTCGGACCCCTCCTCTCAGGGGCTGTCGATCCCTACTTCTGGACTCATATTGTTATGCAATTCAGCACATTCGAACCTGCTGTCGCACACTCCATCCTCGCCATCAGTGACCTATACGAACAATTTCAGAGCGGCAGCAATGCAGCAGTCACTCCTCGCGACAACAGCTTCGCGTTGCGGCATTATAATGCCGCCATCCACGAGCTGCGGAGCATGATGACCCGCGATAGGCAACCTGTTGTGCTGCTCGTCTGTCTTTTGTTCATCTGCATAGAGTTCTTGCGGTCGGGACGCGAAGCTGCCATCAGGCATTGCAAGCACGGTGTCGCCATCCTGCGAGATACTCACAACGAGTTTCCCTGGACGAGGGAACATCTCCTTCCACTTTTCCGACGTCTAACCGAATACTCGTTCTTTTTTAGCAGCGAGAAGTCGGACTTTCCCGATCTGAGCGGACTTGAACATCATATCCCGTCCAGCTTCTCGACATTTCAGGATGCCCAACTGATGATTGACGACATATACTGCCAGACACTTCAGCTCATGAAGAAAGGCTACCCATACCGTTCCGAATCGCTGATAGGCAGTGCGGTTCCGCCAGAACTACTTGCAAAACAAGAGAGCATCAACAAATTGTTAGACAAATGGAATGACCTCTTTGACCGCTTCGTGGAGCAAGACCAGTACTCGTGTGCCCCGGTCACGAAGGCTCTCGAATACAAAGACGGGTATTTGCCCAAGATGCTTCAGAGCTTCCTGACAACGCGCTACGAATGCTGTCGTATCTGGTTGAACATGGCCTTTGACCTCAGTCAAACTGGCTACGATAAGTACTTGCCTAATTACAGGCGGCTGGTTAAAGAGCTCACCTCAACCGTCGAGCGAGTTTCAGAGCACTCGGAACGTGTGTCTATCAGCACGCAAACCCCAAAATTTATGTTTGAAACGGGGTACACACCAATGCTGTTCTTTATCGTCAGCAGCTGCCGTCATCTGGAAACGCGGTTACAAATACTGCGTCTGATGCCAATCCTGGGACTCCCGCGAGAAAACTTGTGGGAGATGGCCACGCTGGTTGTGATGGCGCGGCGGGTCATCGAACTGGAGCATGATATATCCCTGGACCCTTACGGAGAACCCCTCGAACCGATCTCGCCAGATTTGCCCCTGCCAGCAAACGAGAAGAGGATAGTGGACATGTGGACAGAACCGAAAACCGAAGAGAGGAATATTCTAGGACATATTGTACGTGGGCGGATAGTAGGGTTTTTCCGACGCAAACCTGACGGAAGCACCTCGTTGCACACCGAGTTTTTAGAAGTTAGGAACATCAAAGAGGAGCTCGGGAAACTCCATGTCGGTTCACCCGTAGTGGTTCCATAGTAATTATATACTTTTCGAAATCAAAGACGTCTCTCCACCGAGTCGGGGTCATGATTTTGTATTATGAAGACAACCGACGGGCTTGGAAACTGGTTAAACGCACGGTGTGATTTATACTCTACCAGACTATCCCCCATGCTCAATATTGACCAGCCCTTTGTGTCCCTACTTCCTAAACCATTTTCCTAAGAGAACACTGCCTCTTGTTCGGTACCAAACTCATGCTGTTAGAAAAAGAGAGGGGCCAAGTGTCTCAGTACTCAGGCCGAATCCTTACTATGTCACTGCCAGAATGGACATAGGGTAGACGAATATGTCTCGTATACTACGCTAGGCAGTGAAACTTTGCACTCTTTTGCCAGCTATGAGTCTTGTGGCTTATAAAGCTTCATCATACCTGGAGATATCCCGGCTCCGCTGGATATGTATACTAACTGTCTTTACGAACGGCCGGTGGCGTCTGCTCTAGACCGTGGATCAGGCAGGGGAATTGGGCCTTGATGCCAGGTTACGGCCGAGTTCGTCTTGGTCTCTTTGTTCTCATAGAAGCAAGAATTTTATCCTTGACACTGCATAGAAGTGCGAACTCATCATTGAGAAATTCCACTTGGTTGTTGCTGTTAGCCAGGTTCCTTGCGTTTTTCTTCGCTCAGTCAAATTGGCCGATTCAGGTGCCGAAGGAAGTCGTCAACCGGCAGACCTCGAGGCTATCGAACAACACTGAAAATGGCCCGACGCGGTTTGTGTACGTTTTCCTTCTTAGTAGAGTACGAACGATCTTTCCTCGGGTTCTGGCGTTTTCTTTCGCATGACAGACATAACGAGAGGCACCCCGCTCGTGTCATAGTAAGTGTGATGGTTCTATCCAACATGCCGTCGCCGGTGTTGCCGGACCGTCATAGCGCTATATCGTGTGCATCTACAAGCCTAGTTCTAGTCGAAAATGCTGTCACTGGACCCTTGTCTTTCCCGTCTTCTCCGTGGTTGGTTGAGTCCCCTTTGTAGCTTGCTTATCGTCACTTGTTCATTCATGGCACGACACCAAAGAATATGGGCTGGAGCCAACAATGGCACTAGGTTTTCGTATGAAACATTTGAATGTCGTCTTCATTAATGGAACGACAAAGGCGTTGGCGCGGGCAGCGGGGGTCAAGGGCAATGGTCTGATCGTGGGGCAACAGCCTTGCGTCAGTTATTATTAGCAAGGGGCACAATAGGCACAATTTTCCCAGAGTAGCAGTATATCCACCAGGGCTTCATTTTCCAAGACAATTTCTACGATCCGGGCTACCGCAATACCTGCCAGTGCGATAATCATCATCGGAGAGGTCCCATCGATGAATCAATTGCAACACATAAACCAGATTCGTGCACCCACAAGCTCTGATAGATGTTCTGCAGGATGACAGAATGTGGCGCCGTTAGACAAGCAATCATAAGTAGGGAAGCATGGTAGGAACACCCAAGAGATGCATGTTCCCAAACATCGGCCAATTGGGGCGTGCTAGCCTTTCGCATGCTTGGAAATAGACCGGCACAGCGATGACACCATTCAATAGCAGTGGCGGGTACTGTAGCGAAAGAAGCAACATTAATATCATAAAATGACTGCCCAAAGTGGAAGTTCAATGGTAAGCAGCCGGGACGTCGTGGATGCGGTGTGTCCTCTCGGCAAGGAAGGATGATAAGTAGCTTCTGGCTGCACGGTGTGATAGAGGCCCGTCAGGGTAGCAGTGGCGTCGACTCTGGGTAGCTTGGGTCCGTGGCCGGGGAGTACTCTACTGGCTCGACACTCACTCTTGACTTCCCAAGGCAAAGCCAACTACGATCGGGTTCCTCACACTCTTGGCCAGCCAGTGTGCAACGGCGGAAGAGCAGGGATGTGGGTTTTGGTAGACATAGCCATCCAAGCGGAACAAACTCCGGGCTGGTAACGACATCGTTTCCTTGGCGTATAAAAACCTTAGCTGCTGTTCCTGGACCCTCGATTTTCCACTATTAGTGCGAGAAGGGGCCTCAGCTATCCACCAATGTGGAGAGGTCTCTTGACATGGACGGGCATCGCAGTAAGGGTACCCAACCTACTCCGTACAACTTGATACCTATGTCCAGGAGTCTGAGAAGCAGGGATGGGGATCACCGCCATGGTCAACAACTGACGATTTGGGGACGTCATCAAAGCATAAAGAGATCGATCGTCCGTAACGGCGAATGACACAAAGACGTAACACAATGTCCGCTGAGCCCCAAAGACCCATTGACTTTTCCGCTGTGGTAAAAGCAGTGAGACACACTCTTTTTTACAAGAAACCGAGGGGAATGAAAGACACATAGGAAGTACCGGTAAATGGTACATTCGCGAATGAGGGGGCTCATTCACCACTTGCTTGTCTTTCCCTCTCCTAAAGAGAGGAGGATGCTTCCACCTATCAGCGTACATGGAAACCATTCCGAACAGACTGACCAACCAAGAGCTACGGAGCGTCGTCGGCTATGAAGATCTTTGGTGCCCCGCTGTGTAGTTTGCTCCTGTGGTGCGAATAATATGCGTGGCATGCCGAACTCCTTGCATATACACTAAGAGAGAAACGATCTGTCACGTCGTGAACAGGAATATCTCCTGAACCTATCCAACAGGGAGCCCAGCTTCGACAGCCCTTGACAAGATAGAGGGTACAATCCCCTCGATGGGCAGTGTCTTTTAAGAATGTCGCCACTGACACCGCAATCGATGGGAAGACAGACCAGCGTGGGCCCGGAACTATTATCGCGAGGCCCTTCTTCCATTGGCCTCTTGAACCCCCCCCCCCCCTTTATCAGTTGTCTTCTCTACCAGAGTCTCGAGCTGTGCGGTTCCGTTGGTCACAATATGCAACCAGGCACATAAATCCCTCCCCCTCATTGTGGGGAGACGGTCGTCCCATGCGTCGGTGACCATGGAGACTGTTCCGGGCGATAGAATGGGCAGGAGAAGGGGACTTTGCCGTCCATTGCCAACGACCGATGCCAACTATCAGTAGTCTGCCGTATTCAATGACTACATCCGAACTCCAATTTTATTTTTGTTGATCTATGAGGTGCTTCTGTTAACACGTTTCTGTTAATACGGAGGCTCTTTCTCGCAACTACTATGCATCTTGCCGTTCGTCAGGAGGAGAGTGGAAGCTGTACTTAGTGTATACGGTACTTGGATGCGGCATAACCTCATGCAGACAGGTGGGCCACTGGCAATTCATTCGGGAGGTCATGATCAATTGAGACGTCATTCCTGGCTGGATCTGGCTGTCTCCCGTTGCATTGCCTCATGTACACCTATAGCAGCCTCTATCTTCGACCCCCCGCCCACGCCTGGCTCGGGTTGTTGCTGCGGGGGCAGTAAGATAGGCCAGCCAGAACATATATAAGTCCTCTGTGGTCTGGACAGATTCCGGGCGCGTTTGTCAAAGGCTTGCTTTGCGACAAGCGACCGTTGAGAAGTTTAAGCTCGCTGGTTTAAGGCTGACTCCACCTACCGATAAGTTAAAGCACCCACTTATGGCCCCCCCCTGCATTTGGCCCACCCTAAAAACGATGCCATCACAACACCACTACTTTATTCAATTAACTATTAACAACCTCTTGATGCCATAATAATACAGCTTTTAGCCTTACTAGGTAATTCTAATGCGCTAGATTTATCTAGCTCACTTTTAGTATCGCTAGCCGTAATCTAGGCTTACTACACCTCCTTAATTGTTACAAACTTTGTATTTAGATCTAGTGTAATAGCCTTCTGTTTTCTAGTTATACTATTAGTAACTTAGGCTTCTAGAAGGCTTATTTTTTACTAGGTAGTAGCTAGTGTATATAACTACTTTTAGAAGCCTTTTTTAACCTTTCTAAAGAGCTAGCGTTATATAGTAATATTTTACTTTAGTTAGCTAAATAGTTAAAGTTAATCCTTAAGGTTTTTTACTTTTCTTAGCGTAGACTACTTTATACTAAATAGCTAACTATTTATACTATTAGTATCTTAGGCCTTATAGATATTTTTAGTAGCTAGATTAAGTAGTGTTAATAGTATTAATAATATTATTATTACCTTTTAAACTAGTAGCTTATTTATAAGTAGCTTTATTATACTAATAGGCTATAACTTAGTATATTTCTAGCTACTTTTAATATTACTTATAGTTAATTTAGCTAGGTAAGCCTTATAATAGTAAGAAATAAAGTTTTTTTTACTTATAATAGTAAAGTTAATCTACTAACTTAAATATCTTAGCTTCTTCTTATATACTACCTTAATAAGGCTAAAGACTAACTAGTTAAGTAGCTAGAGGATATAAAAGGTATATAGAGGTAAAAATAATAAATAAATATTATTAATATAGTATAGCTATATAAACTTTATTATTATATAGCTTTTATATCTATTTAGGATAAGTAGTCTAGCCTAATTAGGCTAAGAGGGCTTAGTCTAAGGGAGAAAAACCTTTTCTAACTATTTAATAGTAGTATTATTAGTAGTCTATTTATTTTTTATTACTATAAATTCCTATCTATTATATAAATTAAGATTAAGAGGGAACTACTACTACTAGACCTTCTTACCTTTATATATAACTAAGAGATAAAAAGTATTACCTTTAGTAGATATATACTTAATAATAAATACCTAGGCCCTTAATTTAGGCTACTTTTTCCTTACTATATATATTATAGCCCTACCTAGCACTAGCCTATTATTACTTTTACCCTTAAGGATACTAGTCTTATCTATATTATATCTATTAGCTAGGTTAATAGCCTAGATATAAGGTATAATAAGATATTTAAACTAGTCCCTAATAACCTTAGTAGATACCTTATTAACACGCCTTAAATTAATAGATTAACTTCTTTAGACCTTAACAGATAGGTTCCTCTTAATAAAGCTATCTACTTATCTCTTGCCTATAGGTTAGGTATCCCCTATAGTATAAAGGATACAATAGGTAAAGTCCTTAAGTTATTAATAGGTTAGTGGCAGCCTAAGGTTAGCCTAGGCAGTTACCTAAGTGGCTAGGCTGGCCTCCTAGGTAGCTAATAGTCACTAGAGGTCTTTAAAGGTAACTAATTACTATTAGTAACTATTTATATAATACTAAAGTGTTAATTATAGTACACCTTATTACTTAGAGGTAACCTAATAAGATATACTACTTATAATATTAGTAATTGCCCCCTTGACCTTATCTTTGGTATATTAGACTATAGGGTATTAAAGAAGGTATTCTGAAAAAATGAAGTGATTTGATGAAAAATTGAAAATGTTGTGATAGTTTGAATTTGGAGGTTATCTAGAAAGTCGGTGGCTGGGAGGCATTTTTGGGGTGGGCCAAATGCAGGGGGGGGCCATAAGTGGGTGCTTTGACTTATCACACAAACATCACTCGAACAAGACAGTACTGTCAAGGCTATTCATTGATCGACGGCCAAAAGAGCTAAGCCATTGGACGAAGGCAACAAACCTACCACAAGGCTCACAATCATTCGGAAGACGCCGTTTTCTACACGCCCATTTCCCAACTAAACAGGCATTCAGAGTATGTCAATGATGGGAGTACAGTCCTTCTAAGATTCCAGCATTCTGAAATTATCCTGGATTATGGGTATGATGAGCAAGCTCCCATTAGCGCCACTGCCAAAAACCATGACCCTCGGTAAGTCAAGGGTCTGCACGCGCGAGGCTTGTGAAGTATGCCGAGAAAAGAAGACAAAGGTACGTTGATGGGCGACTTCTGCAGACATCTGACGCACTTGGTCTCTTCAAAAATCATCTAACGATGTGCAGTGCGATGGTGAGAAGCCATGCTCGCGATGCAGGACTCGGGGCGAGAAATGCCGATATCAAACTCAACTCCACCAGACAAGGCGCAGCCTGCAAGCGGAATTGAAAGAAATGAAGGACGTCCAGCGTCAACGTGACGCCGTACTCAAAGCCCTTACCGCACCGGGGCAGGCCCGTGTTCTTCGCCGGCTACGAACCGGTGCTCAGCGCGAGCGTGACGCCGCACTCGAAGCCCTTGCAGCACCAGGACAGGCCCATGATGTTCTTCGCCGGTTGCAAAGCGGTGAAAAGCTTGACAGTATATACGATCATTTCGAAATGTATGGCTCGGCATCTCCCACTACCAGCCAATTGTCAGACACTTCGAACCAGCTTCAAAACATCAACGAAGAGGCATCTTTGACCCCCACTCAGATGACTATCGACTCTCCGCGGACACTAAGCCATACCAACTCGGCAGTTCCCGAGGGTCCAGAAACCAGTCATATCCATAGTGCCGTAAAAGGCCAGGACTCAGTCTCGAACTGCGCAGAAGATGAGCCAGATAGATTGGTACCACATCTGCAAACGCCTACTCTCAGCAACGCCACACTCACAAACGGCATCGATGCGCATCCTGACGCGGATCGCATGCCGGAGGTGCCCTTAGGGATGTTTATGGAACAGAACACTCCGATGATCTTTCCTAACCCTTATTGCCCTGATCGAGCCTACCCCACAGACAGTATCGGCAACATATTCTGGTGGCATTCAGACATTTCTGACCCTATGCAACCAAACTATGGTGCGCCTCCTTCCACAGATCCCTATGTAGGTCCCTACCAGCAGTTCACAGCACCCTATATCCCAAGCCAAGGGCAAGACAGTTATCCACAGCCGATCTCAACACTTCCACCCGTTCCTGACAAGTCGCCTCCAATATCCCGTTCCTCATCTCAAGAGAGGCCGCACTATAGCGCAGCTTCAAGCACCACCACCACCACGATAGGCGAAAGCCGATACCCGACCCCGCCACCCACGAAGAAACGAAAGCTCCCGACCAGAGACAACGTTTCCTCAACCACCTCTGGTACGGGAAGCCGTAGTAGAAGCAACACTTTTGTCCCGGAAGAGAAAACAGCCAACAAGAAGCCCTCGAACCAACAACACTCATCCCGCGAGCGCGAGCGTCACAGGCGGGCCTCAGCCCGCAACTGGCAGAGACAGAAGCAACAGACGGCAGAACTCGAAGCAGTGATGAAATTCGCCGAATCTCGTAACCGCGAGCTCCACCGCGAATATGCCGAAGTGTTAAGACAGGTCGTGGATGTCAAGAACGCCCTCATGGACCACGCTAAGTGCAACAATCCGGGGATAAACAGCTGGCTGCATAGCCAGGCAACCAAGTATGTAATAGGAAATGGCGCGGCAGTTGGGACAGAACAGAAGAATCATGTTGGGGAGGCAGGCAAGGGAGCGCCGATCCACACGGGAGGGTGCACAACCACCACCCGTAGGTGATTATGAGGCGATGCTATCATGCTACCGGTCAGTCATTACCGTGGAGGGTGCAACTATGGTGCGGATTTTACATGTGAAAAGGATACGGATATGTAGGTTTTCTATACTGGAACAGGATTTACTAGCAGGGAACCAGCAAGTCATTTGGCTTTTTAGAGCGAGACGTTCGGAGTCGAGGGCTTTATTAGCTAGGCTGGGAAAAGGAGCATCTGTCAAGGTGATGCACGGTCATGAATTTTACTCGATTTAAAGACAAACTTGTTGGCACACCGGATTCACGATTGTAGAGAAAACTAAATTCTCGATAGCATCCACTTCACAACTGCTGTGAACCTGATTGTCGTTTCCTGAGGATATGTAACTACCCATTACCCTACCCATACCTCTGTGTGCCTGATGGGAAATTATGGCACAGAGAGCATTGTTGCCCAAAGCCACTCCAAGGAACTGGAAGATTCATAGAGGATAACAGAGATGGGATTTTGATAGAAAGCAATAGTACCTAATGTAAGACGCCACTGTAATCCTTCCAACAGGGTCTAACCATTGATCGTCGGTGTCAGTTCCGCTCCCTATCGATCTGCAGCCCATACGTCATGAAGTAACCTCGCGATTGTTTAAAAGAGGTGTCGTGATATAAGCCGTAATTGCGCAGTGGCAATTACGGATCCGCTTTTGTCATCACAAGAGGATAAGACGGTCAATTTGCAACGGCTGGGACGTGGCAATCGTGGCGTTGGCCCTGGTGTCTTCGGCCTGTTGAACTCACGCATTCCAATAACGCCACGTGACATTTCCCATTATTGTGCAGGCTCGGCGACCTCAATAAATGTTCCGAAGATGGGGTACATCCGGTAGCCATAGGTTTCCCTCGGCCTTATCTCCGAACTTCGTTGTAGGCTATTGTAATCTGTGAGGGTGCTGAAACATCAGAGGATGATATCATCTATCATTTTCAAACAAGCCCTGATCGCTGGGTCACAGAACCTGATAGCAGTAAGCTGCAGCAAAACCTACAAAGTCCGGGGGCGGTGCACGTTCTCACATATAGTATGACGGCATATTTGCTGTAAGTGATGCTGACAGGCTAACGATCAATGGGATGGAAAACACTGCTAAGGAAATATCAAAACTGATTCCGAGAGCCCAGAATTCCCAAACCTTTGTTTTCTAGACTAGACATTTGTTGAAAATACTTTTTGATACATAAACTGATCGACCACTAACCGACAAATCCGATAGCTTTATCTGGTACATTGAAGTTATCTGGAGCATACGTCCAGGCTCAAAAACGACATATCGCAACAACAATACATAGCCAACAGAACAAGACGACGGACATCTTTCCAGCATACAATAAAACCACAGAAGGCCTTTCGTTTTTCCTTGTCTATTTAACCTCTTGAGGAATCGTTGCAGATGTGACGCTCATGTCCAATTCACATAGGTTGAACACAGCTTCTGTTAGCATCAACTTGATGGGTTGGCTGTGACATTGGTGACAAGAGAAGACATAACACTCGGTGCCGTGATTTATCTGATTCGAATTTGTTTCGGTCTCTTTGCTTGATGCCGACTACCTTTGATATTGGTCCAGAGATCTTGACGTGGTGTCTTCTGTCACTAATATCTGAATGAGCAAGGATTGCCAACAATCTTATAGTTGTGAGACAGTCTTCTTCACCCGCTGAATTCTGTGTTACTACATTGATAGTCTTCTGCGTGACACAGCGCTAGCCTGTAGAATAAGAGGAAAGCTTGTGACGTACAGTTCTGAAAACACGGCACTATCAGTTGTTGTTGTTGTTATTGTTGTATTTAACGCCGGGGACGTTCCTATTTAGGGCAAAGGGCGCCAAGGCAGAAGTATCCTAGATATGAATATACATGCAGCACATACATCCACGCCGAGATGATCCACCTGGGAGTTATTCTGGTTCTCTGCTCCGTGCTGTCAAGTGCCTATGGCCCTCCAGTGTCCTGGCTCTCTCCGAGCATACCCCCTTGCCTGCCGCCGCAGTCAGGGGGTTCTCCGTGTGCCCTGTCATACAGTGCTACTTGCACATCCTTGCCTCCATCAGGTATTTCTGGCTACCTGCATAGTGTTAATCTACCTCCGCTCCGTGCGCAGGTAGATCCTGATAGCGTAGGTCTCGGTCTTGCGTGGTGGAGGAGTAGTGGTGTTCTGGAATGTTGGTAGAGGAGGGGAGTAAGAGTTGTATCGAGTGTGCGTGGGTAGTTAGGTAAAGAATGTGTAGTGGGTAGGTGACATATATCGTACTGCATGTAAATATAAATTACGCTTAAACGCCTGGTATCCAGTTATCTTCGCTGTACCTGTATATGAAGTCATAAATGCCATAGCCCTTGTTAATCCGAACAAATGAGCTTTTCGCGTTACAATCATGTCTATCCCCATGGCTGACCATGTCCTCCCTTTCCAACCACATACTTTACTTTCGGCTACCGTTGGTCAGACGGTTCACCAACAAGCCACCAAGCGTGGCTTGCAAAGTATCCTTCTTGCTCCCGCCAGACTCTTTGCCTCCGTGCGATCCGTTGGTATTGTTGTTGAATGCCGCAATGGCCGCGGCACCAGCTGCGGCGGTTGCCATCCTTGTTCCCTTCTTTGACCATGATGTCTTCTCCTTCCTCATCCTCCAAGCCTCCGCTGCGCCAGCCACAACGGCAGCACTTGCGGCCGCCTGCAGTATAGCCGCTTTATCCGCCTCGAGATTCTGCACGCTTTTCGAGGACCCAGATGTCTTGTCCTCTCTTCGTCGGCTGGCCTTGCCATGTCCCCGCCGACGGTGCCGGTCATCCTCGCTGTCGGAGTAATCTGAGTAATCGTCATATCGACGGGTCGAAGGACGGTTGTGTCTGTAGTCCTCAGACCGGCCGCGGCTAGGACGGACAGGGCTGGGGCTGTGTCGCCTACTTCGGTGGTGCCCTGCCCCACCTGCATCGTTGGCACTGCGGGAGATGCGGCGTGACCCTCTCGGGCGATCATAGGAGCGGTCGTCGTAGTATGACTCGGCGTCGTCGTGAACGGCCGACGCCTTATGGTGGCGGTCGTTTCGCGACGGCATGATGAGGGCTCCGAATAGTTAATATGATCTACCACGTGGGAGGTACCTGAATGACGTCTGAGAAGTCCCGGAAACGGGACCACGATGACGCAGGGGCTCGATAGGCTATTGAAAAGCTGTCTTCTTTGTTGTCTAATCTAGCTGCAGGCTGTGACGCCTTGATCTTTTGCTGCAAGTCTGCTGAGGGTCCGATGAGCACGTCCGATCGGAGCTAGGTAGCAATAGGAGGGAGCTCAGGCAGGGAAATGGACGATTGTGGAACGTTGAATTTCTTGGTTTAATAGTCGGTAATCATTCAGAGAGATTCGCAAGGTGGAAAAGGAAAATTGTTGTACAGAAGAATAGAGCACTGGCAGCAAGCGGGATCCAACTTCATTATGAAAGGGCACATTCTTGCTTTCTTTTCCTGTGCGTAAGACGCTGGGAAACACCAATAACTTTGCTGGGCATTTCTTCCCTCTGGCAACCAGAACCCGACTCGGCAGTCCAAATCTTGCTTTCGGGGCTCTGTCCCCAGGGTTCCGGTTCGCTCTTAGTGGCGGTGGATGATGTAAGGTGTTTGAGACTGAACGAGCATCACTGCCGTTTCGAGCCACGGCTGGGGCGACGGGAAACGTCAATGTGATGCGCCCCGCGCCCAGTTTGCTTTACTAAGTTACTCCGCTGGGCGAAACACAACATGATGTCAGACCGATCGTGCGCAGAGAAGTCTGTCTCGGTGAGGCCCGATATTCACTTGTAAAATTCAGTTGACTTCTCGGTGAGGGCCTCGCGGGGTTGACAAGCCCAAACTCTCATGCTAACCTTCTGTTTGTGGACGCCGATAGGCTATAGCGCATAACATGATAGGCTCCCCCCGAAACTGGAGACCTTTGGGCAGCTAGACGAGACTTCAGCACCAGCAATTGGTTTACGCAAGTATAACGGGTTAGGAAGAGAGCAAAGAGGTACCTAACATCTGAAGTGAAGCTGTTCGTACCGGAAATAACTACGGAGTACTGCGCTGGGCTGTGAGCAGGACTATGTTCACGGACGCTTCTGGAGAAGTCAGGGGGTTGGGAATTTCCCCAATGCCAGGGCCTGACTACCAGACGATCGATCAGGGGACGATCGTTGGGGATTGCGACGTTAACTAAAAAATACAGGCTTGATGGACAGAGTGTGCATTTCCCCTGCATTTTTTTCTGCTCGCGCCATGCTGGTGCGAGCTCCTTGGAGGCTGGTCCAGTCGACAATCTCCCCTTAAGGCTTTGGAACGTGGCGTCTATTAGCGGCATCGACAATTGGCGTGGGAACGGGTCTTTGTTTAATTGAAAGTCGCACCAGTTCCTGCAGTAGCAAGGTCCGTTGCGCGTTGGTGCGCGTTTGCTTCGCGTAAATGACAGCGTCATAGATGAATGGTCAAGGGGAGAATGATATCACGATTGTTGACTAGGTATGGTGTTTTGAGAACAGCGTACACAGGACAAGAGCTTCGAGGCGTTTGATAGACTCTATATCTATATGAAGTCTGTTGAATTCCTGGCTGAATACTTCTTTCTCATTATTTCCCATCAGACTAGTTACTCCCTTTACTTTCTCTCGTCAGAATTCAATTCTTCGACATTAACCTTTTATCATTTCCAAAACCACAAAGATCGAAATCATCATGTCTTCCACCGATGTTCCGACTGGGGAGGTTAAGGACAACGAATATGTCTCCCGCCAGGGTGACCGTCAGCCCATCAGCGTTATCAACGACGACGCCAAGGTCGAGGATCCCATTGATGACGAGACTGCTGACTCTGACGCTCAACTTGGTTGGTTTACCTCCAATTAGAAGTTGAACAGATGCTGACTCGGTACAGAGCGTGATGAAAAAGATGCTATTGACAAGAGCAACATCTTGGATGAGCGCACTCGTGGTGCTCAGCCCGCCGGCGATTACCGTGAGCCCGGTGATACCGAAGGTCTTGAGGACAGTCGCCTTGAGTAGATTGGAAAGAAACTTGAACTTGTAGTCAAGCGGTACCACCATATTAATATTACCATCTCATCCTTGTTTGATCCAATCATCATCACAAGTGAAAGTTGAATCAATTGTGCCATCCTGAGTCCAACCGGCAACATACTGCAGTGCTTGCGAGGACCTTGAATTACGAAAGAATTGAATTTGAAATTTAACCTGGTATTAATAAGTTGCTGTTAAGTTACTACGTAGGTATATGCGTGAAATGGAAGTAACCGCGTGAATGGGCGGCACTACCTGATATCTTGCAGCATGGTATATAGCTGATGATGCCGGACGGTGTAGTGCTTAATCAATAGGTCCAGAACGCCCATGCTTGGTGCTTACTTTGCGGTATCGGATAACCTCGTGACCCTCCTGATCATAAGTCCTTTCGGCCACGACCTTATAACCACCGATGGCAGGCAAGAGCTTGGTCCAGAACCCCCAGTAGACAACACCCAATAGAAGCACACCGATAACCACGATGGGGAAGACATAGTACGGGTAGCCATCGGCGGTCCAGGAGGTTGTGGGAGGGATGAACGGAACAATGCATAAGAAGAGGTTGGCGAGAACATAGATCACCGTGATGGGAAAGTAAGTATGCCAAGGTGAAGTCCAGTTCTCCTTCTTGTTCCACTGCAGGTAGAGAAGACCGCTATCATTTATGTTAGCCATAGCGTGAGACTGGGAAGCCGATAAGGTGGGAGACATACATGCCGACAAAAGCGTTGATCCAAGCACCACCTTGCGTGTACATATCAGTTATGAAGTTGTAGGCCGGACCAGCTGGTGGAGCAACAAGGACGATAACGGTAACAATCCAGTGGAGGAAAAGCTGAGCAATAGTTTAGCACAGGCGACTCGGCATAGCTGGCGTCAGTGCACAAGGGGAATATACCGCAGCAGCAGGGGCATTAAACGGCTTATTCGACGCCCAGAATCGACTGAAGGGCAACAGGCCTTCTTTAGCCAGCTCCTGGTTGAGGCGAGCGTGAGCGAAACTGACGGCAAGCACGTTGCCCAAGTTGCTAATAGCAACGAACGCTGGTAGGGCTCGGGCAGCAGCACTGTTGCCAAAGACATTGCGGAAGAAAACACCGGCAACGATGACCTCGGAAGTGGCGAGCTCGGTCTTGGGAATGGCAGCAAAGTAGGCGACTGTTTTTTTCGTTAGAAGATTGAAAAGCTTGGTCCCTTACTCGGGCTGGTATTCTTACCGTTGGCGAGAACGTAGAGAATGGTCACGCCACCAATTGCTATGGGAGCGGCAATGGCCAAAGTCTTGCGCGGGTTTTTGAGCTCCCCAACGACGTAGTTGGCGTTCTCCCACCCCTTGTAGCTGTAAACAATACGAAGCAGGGCAGTTGCATAGCCGTAGGCGCCGCCGTTGCCGTACCCCTCTCCGTCCTCGATGCGGAACGCGTTGTCAAAGTTGTGAGGGTCCGGCACACGACGACGGCCGGCGAGAGCGGCGAACCCAGAGAAGACAATGAAAAGCAAGACGACAACCTTGAAAACGCCCAGAACATTGAACAGACGAATGCCCCACTTGGGCGTGATGGCGTGAATGCCCACAGCGAATGTAGCACCAGCGATACCGATGCCGCGAGCGACCCATCCATCTGGCGAGCTTGAGCCGGACGCAAAGAGGACGTATCGGCCAAAGGCAAGGGAATTCCCGGACGAGAAGCCGAGAAGAACCATTTGCGAAGCTAGGACACAGGACGCAAGGTACTTGGGGTGTCTGTAGGCGCGCTCGAGGTAGTTCTTCTCGCCGCCGGAGCGGGGGATCGCTAGGCCGAATTCGAGGAAGACGCTCATGCCGCAAAAGGTGAGGATGCCGCCAATGACCCAGAGCATGAGCGCGACGCCCACGGAGCCGGTAGACTGGAAGATGCCAGAGGGCGTGGAGAAGACTGGTTTGGGACTGTGAGTACGTGTACGTGTCGCGGAGCTTCACCGCTGGGCCGCCCGTCATGGACTCACTTCCGGTACCAATCATCTTGTTTAGAATCAGGAAAACGGCGCCCGTGATGCCGATCTTGCGCGACTCATCGAACGCGTATGTCTCCTGTTGCTTCACGACACCAACTTCCTCCGCTGAAACGTTGGTCTGCGCGACGTGACGTTCTTCCCCGCCATGGTGATGGTGTTTGAGTGGTAAACTCATCGTTGGCGTGTTCGTGCGTTGAGGAGCACCGCCAACCAGAACTTCCTTCAACAGCGAGATAGCAGACCGGAGCTTCGTGCTAAGACGGGATGATCTGTGGGCAGACAGTCTCCCATGGTGGACTGCAAGGAGCTATATATGTGCGCCCTGCAGATGAGCTCCTTGTCGCGTTGCAACCTGAGCAGGAGTAAGAAAACATCAATGGTGAACAGGTGATCGTCCCTTGCAAGCAATGCTTGAAAAGGGCCCGCACGTCATCGCGATGCAACGTCACGCAAGGCTCGAACAGTGAACCGACTGGCTGGCCAGTAATACGAGGATGAGATTCCCATGCGCCAGAGACATGCGGTCGGGGGAATGAGAGATGAAAAGCGACAGTCATCGACAAAACTTACGACCTTTGGCGAGCCAGACGTAGGGGGTACCACACAATAGCCTCTTCGGTCTAGTATGCGCTGTCACCCTCTCCCCCCACCAGACCAAGCCTAAAATGCTTGTGGCGAGGTTCCAGAAGAAATCTTTCACTTCCACAGGCGGCTGACAATAAGCGACGACGGGTAGGCCGCTGAGGGTGTAAGAGCAGTTGCCCGGCTGCCTCTTGAGGCTAACTCGGCATAAAGGCAGGCGTCCAGTGACAGTGCTGAGTTGTTTTCGGAAGGCTGGGATAGGTGAGACAGACGCCGCCGCCAAGGAGGACGTAAGCATCTAGGCTGTCTCGGCGCAGTGAGAGCGCCCGAGGACCGAGTCAACTCTTCCAGTCACGGAAGGTTGCTAAAAGGCTCTGAAGGTGACCCATATCTAAACTATCTTGGCGTTCCCTTCAGTGTTGGAGTTCAGAGTGTGCAGTTGGAGTGTTCCGGGGAACCTGGGGGAGGGGGACCCCAGGACCGTTGTGGAGCGGCGTGGGAGAGGCTGGGAGGGACTGCAGCGCCAAGAAGGCCGGGTGAAAACAAGCAGAGACCAAATGGGCATTCGTTGATGGCGTGCTTGCGGGGTTGGAATGGCGACAGAGGCTGCACTTGGATGTGCCAATGGTTCGCTGAGGAAGTTCCCCTCGATGAAATGTCTGATCGAGGTATAAGGTCTGCCATCTTTCCTTGGGTCGTTGCAAGTCTTCGTATCCACGTGCACCAGAAATGTCGATTGTCAACCTTGGGTATTATTTCAGCTTAAGATGCCCTGCTTACTTGAGATGCATGTGCACGAAAGTCTACTAGGGATGAAGTTGGAACCGAAAATTAGCTCATGAATATCGTTTGAAAAAGCAAGCGAAGAAATGACGACCCATAACTCCACGCATACTCTATGTGAACATCTGATCACTCATGTGGCTATCATTATTGAGCTACGCCTCATCATAATCCCATCGTCTTCAAAAGTTACATTTGCAGCACTGCGACGGAACATGTTCTGGTGGCCCATATCCAAAGTAGGATCCTCACCCATCCGCTCATCTGTAGTGTGTTCATCACCTGTGTCCCAAATAGTATATCGTACTGAAGTCTCGAGTGTAAATGTTGATCTGGGAGCGTTGAGTGTTGAGGGTTCGTTGTGGGCATTGGTTGAAGTCCGGTCATCTTCGCTCAGTATGAGAGTCAAAGGTCCTTCGCTCGGATAAAGATCTCCGATGTCATCAAAGATGTCCATGATGTGGGTGAAATAGGTGATCCTAAGATCACTGTGGTTGCCTCCATAACAGTTTCGACCCCATATCTGGCCAAGGACGCACTCGGTTTCTTCGTGAACCACAGCGGCTCCCGAGTCTCCAGGCATTCCTGGGCCTCCACAGACCCAATCAAAGGTCGGACCAATGTTAGCTTGTTCAAGATACCATTCCCTGGTTGGCTCCGTGGGCAGCTTGCGGACCTCAGCTGGTGTCTCACACACCACGGCATATCTAAATCCGCTACTCCGGCCAGTTGTCTTGATGATTTGTAACTGAGGATTTTCTGTAAACTGGCCTCTCATTGGATCCGAAACGGCATCGACCTCTATCCCGGGCGGAGCATATCGTAGCCGATTCTGCAGCCACTCATGTCTATTCGCAATGCAAAAGGCCCAATCCGTGACAACGTTCATTGTCGCTTTCTTATCATGCGGAATTGCGGTTGCAAACAGTCTGAGAGACTTGGATGGACGATAAGTCTTGAACATGGGCCCTGAGAATGCATGAAGCTTTGCAATTCTTTTCGGACTCTCGTTTTTTGGGCAGTCTATAGGCGCTGGGTGCACCAAATGGTGGTCGAGGACACCAGAATCCGTATCAAGAGTTGCCCAGTCTTGAATCCCCTCGAAGAGATGCCAGTTGATAAGCCATCCTCGATTGTTGCCGAGCTTCACCGCAGGGCCAATAGTCGCGGCGCCATCTATCCCTTCGACGCCAATAGAGTCGCCACATAACTGTACCGAGTGCTTGAACGGGTTTTTCGGCTTGGCCCATTGATCTTCCGAATCCTGGCTAAGGCGGTTGGTATCGGCGGTACGACTGACGCTCCCAACAAGAAAATGTATTTCGACCATGAGCTGCGGTGCATGCTCAAAACATGGTAAGACCTTGCTCTTGACCTCTTGATGAACATGGTTGGAAAGGATTCTAGACGTCATGACCTCAACGAGTCTTGTGCTCGAGTTGTAGTTGAACTGGATCGTGATGCTGTAGTCGCCGTTATAGTTGTCGTTCAGGGTCTTGCGTAAGTGCGGCAATCCTTCAGATTCCCATATTTCATTAAATTCTTTGGAGGTAGCAGCTCTTTTTTTTAGCCCCCCGCGCAAGACCTCAACATTCGATGCGCCCCTGGGAATAGTACGAATCTCCGCCGTCGGAGCTGGAGATTGGGATGGCGCTTTCATCGACGCACTTCCTCGGAACGGCAAAGGTGCCGGCCGCTCATTTTCTGTGTTGCCGGAGGATATTGGTGGCATGGAATTGTGTTTCAATGGCTCCATTGGTGCTTTGGAGCGTGGTGGTGATAACAACGATTGCGATAAATCTGTATGCCGGCGGCGTAATAGGGTGTCTTTAATCTTCGATGCTGCGAAGCTCAGCGAATTGCCCGCACTACTCAGAGTGCTGCTCCAAGTCGCAGCTTTCGCATAGGATCGTCTTCTGTTCGGAAGCGGCGTGGCTGAATCGCCTTCGTCCACGCGTTCCGGACCCGATGAGGCTCGCCCCGGGCGCGGCTGTGCAAGGTTCTCCGGAAGTATGGCAAATGGTCCGAAAGGTAGACACTGCCGGAATTGCCACTCTTTGCCCGCATATTTTGCTTGAGGGTAGGCTCTAATTTTCTTGGGCTTGGAAGTTTTCCGCTCCCTTATACGCCGGAGGTCAGTCACTAATACTGCTTACACTAACCACCAGTCGACTCACTTCTTTTTAGCCCCTTTCTTGGCTTTCTTGGTCTTAGGCCTCCGCTCGCGTCGCTGGCCATCTTTGCCACGTCGTTTGGGTATAAAGGCATCTTTGACTGACCCGACATCTTTCCATGACTTGGGCAAATGCATTTCAGGCCGTGTTGCAGGATGTAGGTTGCGGTGTTGCGGGCGTGGAACCCACGTAGGAAGAGACCTCGAGAACAAGCCCAGTATCAAAAGTTGCCGACTGGAGTTCAATGCCCATGAACTGACGATTTGGTCCTATGCGCAACATGATGAACTAAAATACCCCAGTTCAGCTCAGCCTGATCTATTTGAGGCTGCTGTTGTATCACCGAAAACCACATTGCCAAGCCCTGGCTGCCTCGCGCTGGGGCTGTGCCTGGTGAGAAATGAATGTGGAAAAAGGGTTCCAGCAGTTCCGGTAGTAGCCTAACTTCTCCCCCTGGCGGCGGGGAAGGACGCCCTGCGTGCGCCAAAATCGCCAGCTGAAGTACACTGATGTCAATGTTTTGGGCACGCGTCATTTGCATTTCGAGGTAGGCTACGAGTTTTCTTGACCAACAGTATGAGTATGGGGTTTGATTGGGCCATAAGAAGGTGCCAAGTATGCGGATTTAGGTAGATGTTGGAGGCCACCTGCAACCGTGTGTAGTACTTCCGCAAAGAATAAGAGCCTCCGCGCAAAGAACAATGCTTATTACCGAAGCTAATTATGGTGGTTCTATCTTCTTTATGCTAGAGTCTTTCCTATATATCAGGGATATTGAACTAGTTCCGGACTATAAATACAGGCTCTGGTTACTTAACACTTACACGAGGCTTTAGACCAGCAATGCCATATTACGGCAGGCCGCTAAGATGCCCGCTTCCCCACCTAATAATAACAAAACATAATAATGCACATGCAGATAAGCTAAGTCCTGCAGTTGGCGCAGCTGAACATCGCTCATCCACATTTTGGGGGGAACCGGTGTAGAATTCATTGGCTGGGCAGAAATAAAGGACTCAACCCCGCTTCCATGTATTTGAGGGAACCAAAACATAACTTCGAGAACAAAAGTACATTTTCGAGTTGCTCAAGTTGCAGTCGCTGCCCAGTATGGAGTGCTCCATCTGCTTCAACCTCGGTGCGCGGGAGGTCGAGGGTCAACTGTTAAACCGGAACCGGCGCTTGGTCAAATTCATCCAGCTAGGCGACTTGAAGCAGTCCGCAGGATTGGAACGGTGCCAGGAGTGCAAGCTGCTGTGGGAAGCGCTAATACTTCTGCGCAAGAGCGACTTCACCGAGTCTGAACTCGCTGGATACATCCAGTTGCAGTTCGCACCAAATAGCCCGCTGCTGCTACATGGCCCATTGTCTCTTGACATCTTTTCCCGAGAGAGTACTGAATTGCCCCGGCTGTTGATAGGTGAGCGATTGCTAACATTTGATAGGCGACAGCGGTCCTCGTCATCCGACCATAGGCCCAGCCAAAGAGGTCGAGAGCCACTCGTCTGCGCCATCCTGTCTCGCTCTGGCTTCCTCGTGGCTTCAAGATTGCCTTGCAAACCACCCAGCATGCAAACAAGCATCGAATCAGAATCTCCCAACTCGCGTGATTGATGTTGGTGCTGCTGGACTCCGCGAGCCATTTCTAGTCGAAACACATGGCGCTTCTGGGGCATATGTGGCGCTGAGCTACTGTTGGGGGGATCCATCTGTCCATCACGTTCTGAAAACAACACACAACAACTTTATGGCTCATAAAACCTCCATTCCCCACGAAGACATGCCTGCCACATTGCGTGACGCCGTTACTATCACCCGTCATCTCGGCATTCGATACCTCTGGGTAGATGCCCTTTGCATCATACAAGGAGACCCCGACGACTGGGCGAGAGAGGCAGGACGAATGTGTGAAGTCTACTCCAACGCTGCGGTAACCATATCCGCGGACCATGCAGACGGGAATTCTGTCGGGATTTTCGCTCCGCAGGCATTTGGAATCCCGCCTCAGCAGCTTGAGCTCAATGGACGACCAGTCTATGTTAGAGACAGCTTGAAAAGAAAGCACAACGACGTTACCATATTGTTGAGGACGATTGAGATGGAAGGCAGCCATGCCGAGCCCATTAACAAACGCGCGTGGACACTGCAGGAAGCAGTCTTGTCTAACAGAACACTTCACTACACCTCGAACGAGCTTGTCTGGGAATGCAACACCTTTCGTCTCTGTACCTGCCGCCGAGAGGACCCCGTAGAGCTGGATATGGAATCCTTGCGATGTATTCGCTCGCCAGCTTTGTTTCGAGAGATGTCAACAAGCAGAGCATACCTCCAGTGGCGACAGATCGTGCAGCTGTTCACGGAGCGTTCCATCAGCTACGACGAAGACCGACTCCCGGCGTTATCTGGCATGGCTAAACAATTCGGTTTGATGTACGAAGCTGCGAACGGGAAAAAGGACCGATACCTCGCGGGGCTATGGGAGGGAGACCTAGCAACGCAGCTGATGTGGACATCGGAAGATGATTACTGGCGCAACCCTGAGATCCAGTACCGGCGACCGAAAAAATGGCGAGCGCCGAGCTGGAGTTGGGCGGCGGTTGAGGGACCGGTATTGTTCCATCCGATGTCGCATTTCAAGCAGGACGTTGAGGTGTTGGAGATACATGTCGAAGCTTTGACCCAGGCCGATATATTCGGCCAGGTTCGGGAAGATGCGAAGCTGGTAATCCGCGGGAGCCTTGTTCATGGGCTTAAGATCACGTCTCATACCGCCAAGCCTGGAGATTCGTTCATGGGATATGTGGCCGGGGTCAGGTATGAGATTGTAGATACACAGGGAATGGGCCACACGGTCATCTGGGACGATGCATCTTCAGTCCCTGCTGTCAACAACACTGAGGAGTATACTTGCTTGTTCATCGGAAAGACGTCAAACAAGGGTGATACACACCCTTATCTCGGTTTTCTGGTTCTCAAGAGGTTAAGCCAGGATGTAAATGTATTTAGGCGGGTTGCCGTGTCGTTACGCAGTAGTTGGATGGATACAAAGGAAGAGGTAGGCTTGTTCAAAAGTGCAAAAAGAGAAGTTGTCACTCTTCTTTGAACGTCTAATAAAATCCACTCATGTCGCTACGTTTAGATACCAGTGGCAGGCTTTAGGAAATATTCTTGAGGGTTGACCGGCGTCACCTCGTCCTGCAGCAACAACTTGAACAGGCCCCTGGACGTGAACCTCAAGGGTATTTAGGTCGTCAGCAATCTAGCCATGCGCAGTTTTGGGCCTCAGTCTCGAAGATTGCCACTTTGTACGATCTATTGGGAAACGCTTGCGTGGAGCCAAAATATAGAAAACGAAACTAGCTGAAGACTGTTTAAACAGTAAGGGTATCATGATGTTAATCTGCGTGTTACGCTGTTAGTGTTGTAGATAAACTGTAGGCGATGTTGATAGATGAGAAATAACTATAAGAAGGATGATACGTTAAAGAAAACCAAACAGAATAGAACCGAGAAGGCAAGTCCATTCCACCAGCAGGGGAGACAATAGAAATAGCATGACTTCAATATTGCAGAGCTTGTGTAGTTGTTACTTGCACGGAAAGTCGCCAGGTTACTTATGTATGCGCGACAATACTAAGCTGCTAATATTGAGTCCAAGGTGGCACTCAGTAAGGACGCGCAGGCACACAATATTGGCCATGCACGGCCATAAAAAGATACGGAAAGTATCACTCCCTATACGGATATTGAATACAACATATAAGGCTTGGAAAGAAATACCATAGAGGTATGATGTCTACCTCTTGTAAATTCATAATCCACCCGCTTGTAGCATGGCCAGTATCATCATAAACTTGGGAACTTTGACGTGCATAGGACAGAGGGTCTTGGACGCAAGAACACAAACGTACATTTCAGACCATGCATTCCGAGAAGCGGTGGCCGTCTGCTTCGGGCGCGTCATGAGCCCTTGAGCAGAAAATCTACCACTACGCTGAATTGCGTGTTAAAATCAACGGGTTTCGGCGCTGTACTCACCCCGCTCTCCCCTCAGCAATGGTTCTGTTTGAACATGGTATCAAAATATGTCAGTTGACATGTTGTGTAAGTTCGGCCCAACATGCCCAATCGTGCGATCTGAAAGGCTAGACCCCTTTGGCCCCTTCTCTAAGCGCCTGATAATGCACATGTTCTTCGATCATTATATTGTTTGCTAGATGCTGATCCACACTGTCAGGGCGTCTGGGCCAAATCAAGGGTGAGGGTTGATGTGCGTTTATCTGAGAAGCCCCCCACGTGCAAGTCCATGTTTGCCCATGGCGTGCCGGGCCGCAAACATCCCAATAAGCCGGATCGCGGAAGACCGTTGTTGGGGGGCGTTTTGATCGCCGATAGCCTCTTGACGTTGGGGAGTCTCATATCTCGATTTGCACATCTCCTCGTACCGACGAGTTGGTTTGGCTTTCTTGGCTACTTAATGGAATGCTTAGGGTTGATCTCCCCCACGCCGGTAAGTGTACCCATTGTCCATCTCTCACTGGGGGAACGGGCTTGTTCCCAGGCCACTTCCGGACAAACACTGACGCAGTGCGGGGGCCAACAGGACGGGGGGGTCGAGGGACGACGGGGCGAGCAGAACAAAGAAAAGGCGGCGTGACGATGTGGTCAGTGGCTGCGGCACGGCCATCCTTGACTGCGCTGCGGGCTGGATACGCAGTCGTCCCCATGTGCAGTAACCTTTCTCTTGGCGTTCGATGGACTGGGGCAACGGGCCAATAGGCCACCGACTCCATCCAACAGACAGACGGATGTTACCTTATCTCGTTGAGGGATGGGGGGGAGGGGAGGGATATGCACCAACACCACCAGCACCAGCAAAGCCAGCACTACAAGCAGCACCGCCAAAAAGGAGAAGAGGGAACAAACGCTCAGGCTTAGTCATTTCGGTCCTATTGTTGGAACATCGTTTGCTCTCTCTCTTTCTGGGTGCGTTCCCCACCTGTGGCCGTGTCAATTTCAACCTCGATCCGCCCATGTTTCTCATCTCGTTCACGAAATTCTCCCACTCAAAGTTTGTCCAGATTTTCCTCCCCCTCGTTTCATGACGGCGTTGCCACTCCCAAATCCAAGGTTGCACACAAGACGCTGCTTGGGTTCTTCTCGCCCCCGTCATATTGTGCGTGTGTTCTTGGGAAACCCCATCCCACGCGTTGCAACGTACGCACCCATCTGTTCATCGGAGCTTTTTGTTGTCTCTCCTCCTTTGCCGCTCGTTCCCTCCATACGAACCAGTGGATCTGCGTCTCAGTCGACCAGGGAGGCAGATCGGGGCGAACCCCTCACTGTGGCTCGGACAGTAAGGATAAGTCACCAACGAAGCTTGTCCCTCCCGCTGTGTGAGATATACCGATCTCTCCCCCACCCTACGCCCACGCCTCTACCTCACGTGCGTTTGTGTACCGGATGGGAGCCCCGTGACCCGGTTCGACGCGGCCAACGCTCGCTCGAATCATGGGCGGGAATCAGGACGAGCAGCACCGCCAACTGAACGCAGACGGGCGGCGGCGCAGCGAGCCGACCCTCAAGCGTCGTCGCATCACAAAGGCTTGTGACTTTTGTCATCGTAGAGGGAGGAAATGCAAGCCCGTGCCAGAGGGGAGCGGGGTCGTAGCGGGCAACGCGAGCCCCGGCGGCACCCTCAGCTGTCTGACTTGCATCGAACACGGCGCGACCTGCACCTGGAACCGCGTGGCGGCCAAGAGAGGCGTCAAGTCCAAGACGTCGCCATCTTCTTCGGCAAACAACAAGCAGAGCCAATCATGCGACGACGGCGAAGCTTGCGGGTGGTTCTACGATGAGAGCCGCCACGGAAGCCGAAGCCTTGTCTCACGTCTCGTCTCCATATTTTTTGACACAGTGTACCCCGTGTGCGTCCAATCTCATCTCGCACGCCGATATACCCCTTGGCAGCTGCTGCGTTCCGTTCGTGAGACATTGGGATAAGCTGACAATTGCATGCAGCTTCCCCTTCTTCGACGAGGTCTCCCTTATAAGAGAATGGGAGAACACCAGCTTGTCGGCGACCCGGGCCTCGTTTGCCCGCCTCATGGCCATCTGCGCCCTGAGCTCATGTCACGTCCGGGACGGTGCCGTCTTCAACCCGGCCGTGCCGGCGCCACTCCGCCCCGAGCACCACCAGGCCTACATGGAGGACGCCCAAAAGGCCATCCCGGAAACCAACCGCGAAATCGGGAGCTTTGACGTCTTTGACTATCTCCAGGTCCTCGGCACCTTGTCCCTGGCTGCAACGCAGCTCAAGGACGACCCTCTCTTCCATGAATGCATGGGTCGCTATCACACCCTCGTGGCCCAGCACACATTTCAATTCGAGGCTCGCTGGCCCTCGCATCTCACCTACCCGGAGAAGCATGTGCGGCGCCAGTTCTTCTGGTCCATGTACCGCCTGGAAGTCCATGCGGCCCTCATTGACGGCCACGTCGTACGCTGTCCGGAACTGCAGTGCGCCGTCGCGTACCCGCAGCAAGTCGACGGCTTGGCCGGCATCATCGACGCTTCGGGACAGACGGAGAAGACGAGATTCCGCCACGGCAGCTGGCTGACCGGCTGGAACTACATTACCGACCTGTACCGCGTGCTGGAGCACGTCATCGTGCGGATGCGCAAGGACCGGCTCAAGGCTCTGGACAGGGGCCCGATCGAACACGAGCCGCTGATGCCCCCGATTGACAAGCTGCTAGAGAAGGTCCTGGAGAAGAAGGGCAACCTACCGCCGTACGCGACACTTGCCTTCCCCGCATCCCACGATGTCGAAGCAAACTTGTGTGGTTTTCAGGTCGCCAACATTGCTTGCACCTTTCAGGTGAGCGTGTTTCCCCTGGCTGCAGATGCAAGGGGGGGGGGGGGGCTCTGACTGATCTTTTCACAGCTACTTCGCATGGCCGCGTTTGCTTGCCACAACAAATTCGAAGAGGCTTGCGAGGCCGCTCTGGAGTTGATACAAGAAATCACTTCCGTGCCTGTGGAATACTTGCGCGCAATAGGTTATCCCATGGTACGGCCGTCCCTTTATCTCTGAACTGATCACCGGGCTAAACTGAGTTCCAGCTCCAAGAATTGGCCGGCGTTGCTCACCTACTGAGCAGCTTCATCACACGGCAGTTATTTAACTGGCAGTATTACAAGCTCCGCGAAGTCATGTAGGTTGATCATTTCCTCATGCCACGCCGTGGTCCTCGAGAGATCCGAGGCTGAAATATCCTAGGACCTCCATGGCGACTTTCCTCCAGAGCCTTGCCCCTTCGCTCCCCTCAGCCAGCCAAGCCGGAGCAAGGATCTTTCAGTATATCCATAAACTAGAGGAGATACTCGTACGCCAGAGTCAGTCGACCATGGCATTGGCCCCGCTGGTGGCCCATCCTCAGTCGGATGTTGCTGTCGAGGCACGACCGACGAGTATGATGCCGCAGGAGCAGCCGCATCTTCCTCCTCAACAGAGCTTGCTCGAGCAGTACGCGTTACCCAACACTGCATTTTACAACTTTCAAACGGACTTTATCGGAAACATGTGGACAAACGCATTCAACGACTCTGCGGATATTGACTGGGCCAGCGCCATCGAAAGCTGGGGGACAACCTAGCCGTGGCCGGTTCATGCTTTACGGTGTACCCGTGCACGAATTTATGCAATCTATATACATGGATGTGTATATGTGCTTCTCGTAACTATTGTAATCAAACCATACAGCCTGACAGGCTTTCTCTCAGGGGACCTGCGCAGCGCCACTCGTTAATTGTGTACTGTGAATCGTGCATATGCACTTGCTGTCGTCTATGCACCGAGGTGCCGTTTCCATAATGACCGTCTCCTCAGCCAGCCGTGACAATATGCGAATCCCTGCCCGGACCCCGTCAACCGTTCTGATCCCAGGTGGTAGGGCTGCCAGGATGTCTTCTTCCAGCGCCGTCATGCCGGCGCATCCGAGGATGATGCTCTGCGCCCCCTTGTCTATCAACGCCTTCGAGAACGTGGCTATCCGGTTGATGACTACCTCCCGGTCCAGGATTTCCAGCTCAAGCGGGCCGATCCCGGTCGCCGCGACGCCCGCAGAGTTCCTACGGAACCCGAGTTCGCTCACTGAGTCGGTCAGCGGCCTTTCCCAAGCCCAGGCCGTGGTCACGATGCCGAATTTCCCGCCGTGTTGCGTTGCCTCTTGGAGGGCGGCTTGAAATATGCCCGTGACGGGGATAGTGACCCGTTTTCTGAGGGCGCTCACGAGAGGGTGGTTCGAGAAACAGCAAATGAGGACGCCGTCGAGGGTGTGAGAGCTGATGTAATCGACGGTCCGAGGAAGCACGGCCCTCGTCGACTCGAATGCTTGCGTTTCGTTCTCTATACATGGCGGACAGCCCAAGAGGCCACGGCCGTCAATGAATGATATATCAAGCCCAGGCCTTGGCTTGTATATGCGGACGAGGTCCTCTGTCATGCCAGTGGTGGATATTGGGACTATACATAGCAGTCTTATAGTGCGGTTCAAAGAACCCATCGTGAAAATGAAATACGAGAGAAGCTCCACCTCATCATAGATGGCCGACACAAGGACTCACCAAGGGGAAAATGCCTTGACGTTTATGCTCTGAGAAATGGAACAGGCAACGACTAACCCGAACCACTGGATTTTCAGCAGCTATTCAACAGCTGACGCGCTTAAGGGCGAGACCAACTGGTGGCTTATTTTAACAGCTCAGCCGCCGGATTCCCCTCCCGCCGCGTGTCCCGGACCAATCAACCCGAAAATGGCGCCAACGACAAGTCGTCCGCGCCGGCACTTGCGATGCAAAAATCATACGATTGTAGGGAGGGGGGGGGGGGGGGGGGGGGGGGGGAGGTCCCTCTTTCAGGCGATCTAGTCTAAAGGTTCCTCTGACGTATCGCGTAGACGTATACAGCTCTGCCCAAGAGGAACTAGCACTAGTTTGGATAGACTGCATCTAAGGAAGTGGATATCTTATCGGAGATATGTTCAAGTATGCTTGCGGGGTGATGAGTTTGCTCATCCCTCTGAGGGGTGATCTTGTCCCGATCGGATACTACCCTTCCCCCTCTCATTATATGGCCCTTTGGGATCCAGGGATCTGGAAAAAGAAAAACGCACTCGCATTGTAGTATTACACAGATACACTGAGTCTTTGCCGCCCCTGCCCCCTCATGCTATATTCTCTTGGTCCATGTATGGGCTTTTCGTCTCCTTATCTTCCGCTGATACCTTTGACGGCGTCTGTTCGCACCCATCAAGCACCGTCTCCTCCAGAGGACCGAACGTGCCAAAGTAATCCGCGTCATCGACCACGCAGGGGCTTTCGATCGGGGACACGCGGTTCAGAAGGCAGTACGACGCGACGGCCAAGGTGCATCCCAAAGGCCAAGCCAGGTAGTAAAGGTGAGACCACCCCCTCTCCTCGACTGTAGGCTCCTGAACCCTCCTCACGAAGCCCGGGAGCAGCGAGAACGTGCCCAACGTCCATGCCACGCCCGCCCTCCAGTTGACGCCGCCGCGGTACCAGTATATACTTTGGCTTGTCGCTTCGTAGAGGTGCGTCAGCTTCAGCTTCCGCTGGCGTACAATGTAGTAGTCTGCGAACATGACGCCCGTCATGGACCCGAGGAAGACGCCGTACCCGCCCATGACGGTCAGGAACTTGCTCGCGCCGTTAAGCAGCTGCCACGGCTGCATGATAAAGGCGACGGCCGCCGTCAGGTACCCGCCCCTGCGCAGGTTGAAAAAGCGCGGTAGTAGCGCCGACAGGTCGATGCCGTTGGATAGCGCGTTCTCGGCGACGGCGATGCCGAACTGCGCAAAGATGAAGGCCAGGCTAGCGAAGAAGACGGCCGCCCGCACGCCGGCCGAGTTGCCGTAGTGGGCCTGCATCGCATCGAGGAAGCGGTACGGCTCCCAGACCAGAGTGCCTTCCGTCGCCGGGAACAGCTGTGCGGCACACGAGGTGCAGACGATGCCGATGAAAGCGACGATGATGGTGTTGAGGGGCACGAAGACCAGCTGCGACACGAGCTGGTCATGCGGCCGGCGGGCGAAGCGCGTGAAGTCGGACTGGCTGAAGATGTGCGTGCTGATACCGCCAATGTTGGTGCAGATGCCCAGAGCGAGCATCCACGCCAGATGCGAGCCGCGAGCCTGTTGGACGCCGGCCGTGGACGTGATGTCTGTGAGCATTGGGCCTGCGCCGCGGGCCGTTGCGAGACACCAGATGAGGAGGGCGAAGACGGTAGGAATAACAGTGCAGGCGGCAACGAGGAAGGGAACATGGTAGCGCTCCGGACGGATGTAGATCAGAGGTAAACAGAGGAGGGAGAAAATGATGAAGCCGATGAAGTCGGCTACGGTCATTGTGCCGTTGGCCAGGGGCATGTCAAGCTTGTTGAAAGACGGGGCCATGGATGAGATGAAGGTCCGCACGCACTGCCCCCCCCAATAGACCTGCGTCGAATACCAGATGAAAGACAGCACGATGCGCTGCACGAGCGGGAACAGGGCGCCGTACATTCCCCAGCTGGACTTCTGCAGGATGGAGAAGCCAATGTGCCACTTGGCGCCAGGCCCGCCGGCGAGCACGCAGATGAGGCCGACAAGGCAGTGCCCGACGATGACAGTCAGCATGGCCTGCCAGACGTTGAGGCCGAGCGCAATGAGGGAGGAGCCTGTCGTCCAGCCGCCGATGTTGAAGGAGCCCGTGACGACCCAGAGGCCGACGAACTGCCAAGGCCCGTACGTGCGGCGGTCGGGCGGGAGGGGCCGCGTGTCGCGGTTCATGTATGCCGTTGTGACGACATCGGTCTCGCGGGAGACCTGCATGCGTCGGAGGAGGGCCGCCGCCTTCATCATGGGCGGCTTTGCTTGGCTGGCAAGTCTCACAGATGGTCGAACGGTTAGGTTCTGGTGCGTACCACTGTAAGTACGCGCGTGTAGGTCACCTGCCGATGATGATCTTCCCGCTAGCCAACAAGACCTTTCATCACACTCTGCCGTTGATCGGATGATCTCTGAGTCTGGTGGTTATGGAAGCTGCTCAAGTTTGGCGCCAAGCCAAACTACGTTCCGGATGCGTTGTTCTGTGCACCGTCTCACAGAATGGATCAGGTGATGGAGTAGAGGGGTTGTATCAGATGAAAGATTCCAAGAAAGAAAAAAAACCGGCTTATAGTGACGAGACTAGGCCGGGGAGCGATGGGCAAAGGGGCGCTAGACAAGACCGTAAGCAGACCGCTTGGTGATGAGGTGGCTTTCTCCCCTACCTTTAGTTTGTTACACTCTAGCTCGAAAGCTTAGATGGTGGCACAGATCGTGGTGAGTTCAGGACTTGAGTAGGTTTCGTCGAACAAGTCGCGGGGTTGGAAACACTAAATACGGTGTACTGGTGTGGTGTAGATATCGTATTTCTTTCCTCGGCACTGTGTGTGTGCCCCTTCAAGGGCCTAGGCGCCCTTGAAGTTGATAATTGTATCAATGAGGGCCCTCCTGCCCTCGTTACCGCAGAATAAGTGAACCAGGATGCCCATAGCGTGAAGACGGTCGGGAGTTAGCATGTCGGGCATGGCGAGGAGTTCCTGGCGGCACGGTTGCTGGATACCAAACTGCAAGACAGGGGGGGGGGGGGGGAAGCCTCGTCTTACTGTCTATGATGATGGTGGCTGTGGCTGACCAAGATGTCCACGATGGGCGAGGTGCAGGCAGGGTCGCTTCATCAACTGTTGAGGGGGATCGACATCCCAGGCGCTCCAGTGATCTGAAAATGATATGGCATCCTTGAACAGTCGGGAAGGAGGACTTGGAGACAAGGATGAGCAGCATGGTTGCCCAACTTACTTCTCGAATGGCTCATGTTTGTTTGGCGTCTGCTTATTTGCCATGTGCTGTAAAAGACAAAGGCCAGCCAATTCCATGCATCACTCTTGATTATACCATGCCGTTGGCAAGCCCGCCGTGTGCGCTGCAGTCATCATCCTGTGGCCAGGGAAATGGCCGAAAATGCGTTACTCGTACATACATACGTGGTAGTACCGAGAGCCCGAGTCCCATGCAGAAAGCACTCAAAGTATACAGCGGTGACGACGATCTTGGTCGGAACAGGCATAGGACAAAAAGACCTTCAGGGGTCAAGACCAGGCACTCGGGAAGCAGAGAGGAGAGAGGAGGCCTAGGCCGCCTAGCCCAGCCGGAGCACGACTAGGGTCTCGGTTCGGGTTTTGAATCTTAGGGCTTCTTGGCAAGTGAGGGGAGCTCACCTTGTAGAGGGGAGCAGGGGTCGAAGGGGACAAAATGAAGACTCTATCGGGCCGCAGAAACTCGGCAGCCCTTCATCTGGTCGAATGCGGCGTGTTGCATGTTTGCTTCTTCCATTATAGACAAACAAACGCACTTCTGCACTCTTTAGTTCAACAGCGATAAATCAACGCGTTTGGATCAACTTCGCCATCAGCGTTATTGCTTATTGCGTTCTTCGAGGGGACCCAAGCTGGTAAAGGCTTGTTCTTGTTATCTCTGCCCTTGTTCCATGTTCGTTCCTCTTCACAGCGAATCCGCAGCGGAATTTCGACGGGCACAGCCGGCAGCGCCTGGTCGCGTTCACGTCAGCCCCTATCGAATGCAGCACCCATGGTTTTGTAACCGGCCGTTCCCGTGCCGCCAATATTCTCCAGAGATACTACTAGCCCGCGTTCTGTGCGACTCCGGCGGTGCCCCCCTCATTCCCCGGTGCTCACGTTATCTTGGCGGGTCAGGAGACTGGCTAAAGGCAAAAACATCGGCGGGTTCTCCGGAATCTGCAGCCTGCGCAGTTCTACAGCTTTAACCGCCTCCCCGAGACCTTGACCCAAATGACCCCACGAGGTTATCTAGACGTATGTCTTGGCCTTTCCGGCTTTTGTTGTTTAGAAGGAAACGGCATATTTAACCGCAAGTCTTGGACAACTCCACTCCCTGTCGCTATTTATTTAGCGTCAGACATGATGTACTTAGGTTAGCAGCTTACGGCATTGTCGTGCACCTCTATACTACCAACATCCACCCACCTGCAACATTTGCCGCTTCTATCTTGGTTCAATGTATGGAGAAACCCCTTATTACGCAGTAAACCAAATCTCGTTTGTCTCGTCCATCATCCCTCTGATTTCGGTTGCTATATCCCCCTTTCTTCCCATCCATCAATTGACTAAGCAAACATGTCTGCGGCCTTGCCAATCATTGATTTGCAGTCGTTTGGAAGGGTGGAAGACTTGGGGGCGGAGCTGATGCGCGTCGGCAAGGATCCAGGCTTCTTTTATGTCGTTGGACACGGATTGGGCGACCACGTCGCTGCGGGCGTGTTCGCCCTCGCCCAAGCCTTCTTCAACGCACCCCTGGAGGACAAGTTGGCATTCGCAAATGGGAGTGGCGATCTGGTTGGTCTGCACCAGCTCCAACACCTTCCCTGCCTGTGTTGCTCGACGCTGTGAGATATGTGACGACTTTTGGATCGCCAATCAGCTTGCTGACGCCTGTCATGCTGACATCTAGGGCTACACCGGCCTGAGAGAAGAAAGGTAGGTTGCGCCTATACCTAACACTCCCTTGTTAAATATAATGCGCTAATTTATCACGTTGGAAACCAGGTTGTCGGGAGCCGGGCCCGGAGACGTCAAAGAGTCATTCTATCTTTCAGACCCCGGAAGGACCGCGCAGTCTCTCCCAGTAGGTCTGGAAAGAGGCCGTGAGACGATAGCGGCCTTCTTCTCTGGCTGTGACAGGTTAGCAAAGACGCTATTGGAAGGACTCGCCGTTGGCCTGGGCGTAAGTGTAACCCCCAAAGACGAGTAAAGAATGAGAATCCACCAATCCAGGGCTGAACTTTTGCCCAGATGCCAAAAGACTTTTTGTCTACAGCCCACACAGGCGAGAGTTGCCGCATGCGTCTCATCAACTACCCTCCGGTATCCCAGCTCGCTTCGCGCCACAGCCTGACCTCCGAAGATACGGAAGACATCCGCGCAGGCGCACACTCCGACTACGGCTCCCTAACGCTGCTTTTCCGCCAGCCATCTGATCAAGGTGGGCTGCAAGTCTTACGGGGTGGAGCATGGGTCGATGTAGCATGCCTGCCGGATGCCATTGTCGTGAATATTGGGGATGCCCTCGAGTTTTGGACCGCGGGGAGGTTGCGATCTACGGTACATCGGGTGGCATTTCCTAGGACCGCAAAGGAGAACGTCGGGAGGTTGAGCATACCTGTGTTCATCCAGCCTGACCGTCATGTCATATTGGCGCCGATCAAGAGCACAGATGAGTCACTGACGACAGGGGAAGAACTCGGCGCAGAGTTCATGGAGGTTTTGCGCCGAAAGGGGTACGAGAACGCCAAGCCCGTCACGAGCTCAGAACACCTGAACAGAAGAATACGAGCCACGTATACCAAGTGTTCATGAGTTTCGGATGTATTTACGAGAATCATTGACGATGGAGGCGGCATAGAAGCCATCATATCTACACATGAATGAACATTCGGAAACAAACCACCAAGGCTAGCATTCTTGTAGTTTCATTTGCTACCATGTGGTAAAACACCCAACAGTACAGCTGAATAATCACTGTGCGTCTGAACTTATAGTCTGTATCATTAAGAAAGAATCAGCAAAGCCGACCGAACTAGGAGTTGTGCCCATCCAGACTTTGTCAAGCTCCAAAACTCCGCTGTTCTTTGTGTTGTTACAAGAACATTGTCTCCTGGGTTATCTAAGCCTTGAAATCTATGTCAGGAACAACAGTTATGATGTTTTCTTGGTAACAAGTTTCAACTAGATATGATTGAAAGCTACCAGCCGTAAGAGGCGGCAGCGGTGAGGTGTTGGAAAACGTGCCTGCAACAGCATTATGTATCAGGCGGTCCGGAACAGGAGGATTGTGTACAAGAGGCGCATGTTCACAGCTAAGCCTCGCTAGAGGCGGGTGGAAGGATCGGAGTTCTAGACAGGAGCGCGTATCTTGGACAGCATCCGCCAGACGTATGTGCATATGGCGTTGTATGTCGAGATCCAGGTAGCCTCTGTATCTTATGGCATCACAAGCTTCTTTAACTCTTCCGCTTTGCTTTTGGATAGATGGAGCAACACAGATTGCTGCTCATTGTGGTCAGGATGTTCCGGTGCAACTGCAGGTCCTTCAACAAGGCTATCTGTGGGCAGATTCGTGGTGAAGCGCGAGACGTCGACGTTCGCGGGGTTCCAAATGTAGAAATTAGTCGAGCGTGCAGCCGCGTGACAGTTTTCTCCTAAAACTACTAGATAATCCTACTAATTTAGTGCAGCATATTAAGACGTAAGTCTACTTAGCGTGTTAAAAGGTTCTATTCTACTAAAAGCTATCCCTATACCCTCCTTTGATCTCTTGCTAAGTATTCTTGTGATTTAGTGAGACGAGCGCTATTATACTACAAATAACATATGGCTATGCGATATCGCTAAACACGCCCGATCCGCTGGTTGGTCTGATTGAGCACACGATGGATGTCTTTGCGCTTGCAGCTGTTGTTATATGCATGGGCCTATTGGGTTCTGGCATTTTGAGATGAATCCATGTTCGAATGCCTTTCGATACTTTGAGTGCGCTTGCTCATCTCAGACGGTTTTTATCGAGGTCACGGGATGCAGGAGGTTGTACCAAGGTCCCTTCATACAGTCGGTATCGAGGAAGACGGCGTCGGTAACACCGGGCTTGTCCACAGAGAGTTCTGTGGGGCCACCTCGAACTATATCTCATGTTTCTCGAAGTTTCCAAGCATTCTCATGTAGATGCATTTGTTCCAGATCTTACAAGTTATGCAGAGGTTCGTAAACCAAGCCGGGAATGGCCCCTGTAATCTCAGCCGTCGATGAAAGAGACCTCGCTGCCCGATCGCAGTTGAATAAACATCTGAAAGGAGCAGTAAGAATAAGATAATGCCAACGATCCTAAAGGCATCGGTTAGTTGCACCGTCTCAAACGGATACGATATTAAAGGCCTCGGTATTGGCAGAGCTATTGTCGTGCTGACAGCCGTAAGATATGTCAAGAGAAGACGCTTGAAGATACGCTACGCTGAAATATCACGTTCGCTACATCGAAGCGAGCAGAGATAAAGCAAAACTCCGATAAAAACGAGAGCTCATAAGATTGGCTTTCCAAGCACGTCGCTCGTAGATATCGTAGTGAGCAAGCTATTATAATTAATTAAATAGACTTGTATGGTTCAGGTGAGTACGAGCCAAAACTAGCTACAAATCTTAATCTTGACGCGTATTGTTTAAACTTAAGGTAAAAGGGACTATATATATGTTACGATCCAACCAGTTAGGTGCTGGCTGACGTAACTATATAGTGCAGAACAGGGGATAATGATGCAGGTGCATTATTACCAAAGCTTTTGCTTTGTGCCAGAGTTGGTTGCCCTGACCCGCTCGTGACAATATATTATGCCTCTAATCGTCCACGAGCTTAGAGGTCCTCTCCTTAATTAATATATTAATTTACATAGTGCGAAGAAGGTTAGTTAGTAAGCAGCATGTAAAAGGTAAAGGGTACATAGGTATTGAAATGTCTAAAACAAAAGCAAAGGTCTATTTAGGATTTAAACCTGGGCCTACGGAAGGATATGATTGTTAAATCAGAATCCGACGTCCTAACTAACTAGATTAATAGACCATATAACCTGAGCTCAAGCTCAGATGGCTCCTTATAGTGTAGAATTATTTATGTAGGACAGAGGGCTGAATTCAGTTCTTATGTAGATATAAAGAGTAAGTTTCTTAACAATTAGTCAACTTGGTCCACTTAGCATCTATTACAGTATTCCCGCCGCTGTGTAATATAAATCTAATATCTTAAGGATAAGAAACGTATCTTAAGAGGTTTTTAAATAAGTCTAGTCAACTTTAGGTCTATATATCTAATACTAGATGAAATCCAGTTGTATTTACTGTATTTAAAGAAACCAGGTAGACGCCAAAGTAAAGCAACCAAATAATTAACAATAATTATAGCGGTTGCTGGCCGTCGTAAGCTACCTATCAGTAATCTAGCCGGGATATCTACCCCAGCTGCAGCCTCTTCATTAACAGCTTCGGAAATAAGCCGCCGTGGTAGCATTTTCTACCAATAATTAAGATCCGCTTTATTATGCACCGATAACGCTCGCTATGAAAAGCCGGAGATTATCCGGAATGGACCCCGGCAGATCATCGTGGGGCCAACGTCATTTCTTGTTTACGTGTCGCGCTGCTTGGTTTTTTTCTCCCCATCACTTTACCTTGCATATCCGAGCCCGTAGAAGAGGCCGAACCTTGTAGCCTGTCGAAAACAGCTCTAAGGAAAATATGGTAGCTCAATCAGACGGCAAGACCTCGCCGTGGCTGTCCCTCACCGCTGGGGGCATTGCCGGCGGTGTGGAAATGGCGTGCACATATCCCTTCGAATTCGCCAAGACGCGAGTGCAACTCTATGGACACCAAAAGGGATCGCGGAACCCATTCGCCATCGTCCTGCGCGTTGCTCGCGAGGAGGGGTTGTCGGCTCTGTACAAGGGATGCAGCACGATGATCGTGGGCTCCATCGGCAAGGACGCCGTCCGGTTCGTCGTGTTCGACAGCATCCGCTCGGTGTTCGAAGATAAGGAAACGCATACCATGAGCCCTATGCAGAGCATAGGTGCTGGAATGGTGGCTGGCATTGCGGGCAGTACAGTCATCGTAACGCCAAGCGAGCGCATCAAGACGGCGTTGATCGATGACGCCAAAACAACAAAAAGATTCAACGGTGCGATACACTGCATCACGACACTCACCCGCGAGCAAGGTGTGCTCAAGGCTTTGTGGCGAGGATACATCACGACGACTTTGAAACAAATCGGTACCACGGGTTTCCGACTTGGCAGCTACAGCATCATGAAGGACTTTGAGCGATCGCGAGGCATTAGCCCCGACGGGCCGATAATGAGCTTCGCCAACGGCGCCCTTGCCGGGACTGTGACTACAATCGCGACGCAGCCATTCGACACAATCAAGACGAAAGCGCAGCAGGCAAAGGCGGTCGGCACCATGGAGTCATTTCGAACCATCATGGCTGAAGACGGAGTCAAGGGTCTCTGGAGAGGCACTGTCATGCGCCTAGGCAGAACGGTGCTGTCGGGCGGCATTCTGTTTACGGCCAACGAAGAAGTTATGAAAGTTCTCAAGGTTCTTACAGGCAAATGATTTCGCCCGATGAATTAGAGGGGCCAGTAGATGTGCACATTAGACAAGGAGGGCATGAAGATGAAGGGGACGAAACCTTACAGATGTATGGACAGCCCGTGGATAATGAGGTTCACAACGCTCTCTGGATCAAGGTAAATATAGATTTTGGCAGCAATTCATTATAAGTGTGTTGGAAAATAAGGATGTGGTTGTGGCAAAGGACAGGACGCAGGCCAAAATATTGCAGACAGCGACTGTCCACCAAACTTGGTTTCTTACTGCGTCATGGTCTTCATTGTTCGTCATGAGACTCATTTCCCGTGAACGCCTATGTCCCTCAAATGGGAAATCACCACTTTACCTTTACACTTCCTCCTTGCCTTCTCCAAGCACGACAGCCATCTCAACATGGAGTCGCCCCAGCTCCGTGCGTATTTGCCTTCCAATGGAAACACACCTGCCCAGTAGCCACCCCAAAAACACACATTGGCCTCAGAATCGATGTCCCAATCAGCCGATGGCTCCTCGATCTTGATCTGTTCCGTAAACCTCCCTATCAATAACCAGTCCAGTACATCTGGGAAGCCTTTAGCAGCGGTAACCGCACTCTTCCAACCTTCGTTTGTCTTATACTGTATCCTGGCACCTGCGTAGACTAACAACTTGACGATTTCTATCCGTCCCAGACTGGCTGCAGCCATGAGTGCCGTTCCAGCCGCAGAGCCCTCGAATTCGATGCCACATCCCGCCTCTAAGAGAACTTTGACTTCTTCTACAAGTCCATAATGGGCAGAAAAGCATAGAATATTAAACGCTCCATGACGGTCATCTGTTTCAGTCTCGGATATCTGACGCATAAAATCGTGGCCTAGTCTGCGGTACATCAGCCGCAACTGCTTGTGCATTGAGTTGACATCATCGTTATCGTAGAAATACCATAAGAGCTTCCACAGAACTCTTCCTCGTTCAAATGTATGAAGAAAGACACACTGGTCTGAGTTCAGGATGTAGGTCGCAAGTTGGATTTTGAACAACATGGGGGTCCAGAGTGGTACTCCAAAGCCCCCGACCTGGTTGAGATTAATGCCAGCTTTTTGTAGCGATATGGCCATATTGACTGAGGCGCACATCAGGTTTGAATCTGACTTGAGAATACGGCCGATACTAGCCCCCTTTTCGAGGAAGAATTCGACCATTCCGGGACTGGCATGACAGACTGCGACCTCAACTGGGGTACGACCATGACCGTCTCGGGTATGAATAGAAGCCCCGTGGTCAGTGAGAAATTTGACAATTTCCAAGTCATCCGCCTCAACTGCTATATGTAGCGGGGTTCTTCGAGCCTGGTTTTGTCGGTTGACATTAGCTCCATACTGCAGGAGGAGCCGTGCAATATCCACGTTGCTCTCATCCACAGCATCGTGTAATGGTGAGTGATCACTGTAACGGCCCGGGCGAGTTGGAACATTGTTGACAAGCTCTCTGACCAGGTTGCGCCCTCCAACAGTGCCGAGTTCTGATACGTAGGATAACAATACCGCGAGGACTTTGCAGCAGTTCTTGTCGATAGCAACCTGGACCGCAATAGAGTTGTCCAAAAGCCACGCCATGTCTTTCTGAGGAATGAGACGAAGCCACGCCGATACCTCTTGTGAGAGGTCATTCTCACACATGAGGTAGTCAAGACATGTCGAACCCTGTCTTGGCCACTGAGATATATTATCTTCGTCGCTGTCAGAAGTTGTAAAGTCAGAGGATGTGTCAGAGCTACCGTTGTCAAAGTAACGGATGCGCGAACATATTGCCAATCCATTTCGCGCACAAGAAGCGGCTCTGAAACTTGCACCTCTTGCGATGAGAGTATCAACAATTTTGAATGGAATTGTTTCACGTGAGAAAGCGAAGACGAGGGCAGTGCAAGTGTGGCAGGATCTCATCGGTATATCGGGCGGGCACCCCTCGTTGAGAAGCCTTTCACAGACTCGGTGATTGTTGCCTTCAATGGCATCTTCCATTAATTTTGACATTGACGCCATTAGATGCCTTTGAACCCGTTCAGTTTCATTTCTTGTCGAATCTGCCGGAACTCTTCGAAGACTTGATTTGACCACGTCTATGATTCTTTTGTTCTTTTGCTTCATTGCGATATCCAGCGGTGTTTCTCCCTTGGTGTTTTTCAAGTGATATGCACCTAGTTCGAGGAGAAGCGCGACAGTCGTTTCGTCTTGGTGCAGGAGAGATATGTGCAACGAAGTCAGACCTGCGGAAGTCTGAGCATTGATATTGCAACCCCGAGACACCAGGATTTTGATAGTCTCCGTCAGCCCGAAAAAGGTTGCGAGGTGCAGAGGAGTAGAGAAATCTGCCGCAGCGACGTCAAGATTGGTGGCAAAACCACGATCAAGTAGGAATGTGACCGTGTCCGGCGATGCAATTGCTGCGAGATGCAGAGCGCTGATGTCATTGAACGTCTTCGCCCCAAATTTCGACGTTGCTAATGCTACTTGCACTCGAAAGTCCCAGATGGGTTCTGGACAATGAGCAGCGGCAATGTCCTCGAGAAAATCGACGTATCCGTGGACACATGCCCATGATACCGGCGTCCAGCCGTTCACGTCCGGAACATGCAAGGTCTGGTATGCGCCATGACGAAGAATCAACCTTGCTGTATCGATATGGCCGGCGCTAATATGCGTGCTGAGGGGCGAAAAGTGGCTTTTGGTGCTGAGAACCTGACAGTCGACTTGTTCCAGCAGCAAACGATGTACCAAGTTAAACTTCTGGTTGCTGTGCGGTCGTCTGGCCTGAGCAAATCCTGTAGTACCGATTCTGGAGTATCCCAGAGGCGGCGGCGGTGGAGGGGGTGTGTCCGGTATCCAAGCGGTTGTAGAGCGGAAATTCGGGCAGCCGAACACGCTGTCACCGCGACCATCTACTAACCCGAGTCGATGAAGCAAGCCCCAACCCTCTCCAGAAGGCGTCAACTGGTTGAGATCAGCCTTCTCTACTTTCTCGAGCATCCTGACTAGCATTCTATGCCCGTTAGGACCACTGCCGTTGGAACATAAGAACTCCAACGCGTGAAGTGAATGCTCTCTTTTGCAGACATTGACCCCGCCTTGAAGAAGATTGTCAAAGAGAAATACGGAATCGTATAAGATGGCCCACTTCAGAACGGCGATATCGAAACCACTGTTTTTCAGATAATCTCGTTGGGTCGTGGAGTCCAATACGAGGATGAATAGGTCTTCGATGATTGACACGTTGGCGTTGAATCCTGAGGGCTTTTCGATGCCAAACAGCGCTCGTATCTCTTTCAGTCCAGAAGTGCTGTTGGCGTTTTCATACATCTCCAAGTAACCGTGTTCTATCATAGTTTTGACAAGATTCAGAGTCTCCGCAGCATCGACGCCAATGTGCTGCTTCATTGTTTTGTCGAGCATCTTGCAAGTGTACTCCCATAAGCCGTAGGCAGCGTTTTCTGTTGCCAGCGCCAGATCTGCCTTTATCAAAGCCACAAGCACTTCTTTGTTGTAGTCATTCAGCATAGTGGCTTCTAGGTATTGTTCAAGAGGGGTTTTGCCTGTTTCAGATCGTTTATATGTGTACGTGCTCAGAAGTTCGTTGACAAATCCAGCGGTTGCGGAGTCGTCTAGGCAGTCCAGGGGCGATTCTGTCGTCGGTAGTCGTATCACGTTGCTTGCATGCAGCTCTTTCAGTACCTTGGCCTCGTTGATTTGCGCGAGAAGTTTACACAATGAGGATTTTGTGCTTTGCAAGATGTTATGATCCCCGGGGAATTGTCTGACTATTTCTGACGCATTCCGGTACTGCTCCCTGTATATCGCTTCGGCGAGTGGAGTTCGACCATCTTTGTTGATGACACGAAGGGCGCGTCCACATTCCGTTCGGTCAATGTGGATAAACAGGGCTCTCAACAGACTGTTTGAAGTAAGCTTACCCGCTGACAGATGCCAAATGGTGTTTCGTCCACCGTTAAGTTTGGTTGTAGTGCATCCATGCTTCAAGAGGCACACAAGGACATCCACGGACTCATGCTCCGCACAATCCAACACCATTTGGGACCTTTCGTCTTTCTGCTCGTCGGAGGCCACAAAGTTTGTCAGTAGATGGCCTAGGCAAGATGTTGAGGAGCATGTCGCTGCAAAACGAAGCAGCCTGGTGAGTGTTTCTCCCTCAAGGATACCGCTGCATCGCGGGCTTCTTGACCTCTCTGTGAGTATGTCCAAGTTGTCTTCTGCAATGGCGTTCCACATCTGCTGGATCAGCATATCATCCGAGATGCCTTCTGAGCAGGGTAAGTTGGCATCGATGTCAGTGTTGTCGGAAACGCATTTCTGGAATGCCTTAAGGTATTGTCGGGATATTCAACTGTTCAATGGTGGAGCCAATCCATGGTCACGTGATTTACTATTATGTGACTTACCCTGGCGGCTTACTTACACCACTATAAATACCTATAGCAGTAACCTTTTCTCTTTTCTTTTCTTATTATCTTTACCCTAGCTACTAATAGTTAATTAATACTATTATAGCTACCTTAATTATAATCCCTATAATACTAACACTAATTAGTAGTTAACTTTATAGTTACTACTACTATAGATTAGTAAGGATTATAAAAAGAGGCTATAATACTTTACTTACTATAGTAGCTTAAATTAAAGTATTAAAGTACTACCTAGCCTAAAGATTATTAGTACTTAGGATCTTATAATACCTAGTAAATAACCCCAGAGAGTTAAAGAAAAATACAAAATACAATACAATACAAAAATACAATACAAATACAATACAATACAATACAAATACAATATATGTATTTGTATTGTATTGTATTAAGAAAAAAATACATGTATTTGTATTGTATTGTATTGTATTTTATATTATATTTTGTATTTAATATAATAATACAAGATATAAAATAAATATTAATTATAAAGAGTATAAGTATAACTTTAATACTTATTTATATTCTATAATACTATATATTAAGACTTAAAATATTAAATAAATATATATATATATAGAAATTAAAAAAAGAAAGTAAAATCTTAAGAAGTATTAAGTTCTTAAAAACTAAAGTAATAAGTCTAGAAGTTATAACTATAAAAGTCTATAAGTATATAAGTATATATATATAGTTAGTATATAAATAATTAAAATTATATTATATTATATATATAGTATAAATTATAATATAAGTAATAAAAGTAATAAAGCCTTAGTATAAACTATATATAGTATAAATAAATTATAAGAATTATAAAATAAACTTAATACTAGACTATTAAATTAAATATAAATTATAACTATTTAAAAAAATCTACTTTATATAATAAGATTTATAAGTATAATAAAACTATCTAAGTAAACCTAATTATTTAATAAGTTAATATATATATATATTATACTTAATAACTAGATTCCTTCTCTATATCTATATCTTCTACTTCTTTATCTTCTTCTTCTTCTATAGTACTATCTTCTTCTTCTGCAGAAGAATATTCAAATCCTATATCAAAGAGATTACTATATATCTTAGGTGTATAAAATATACTATCCAAATTCTCTAAATTACTAGATTCTTGCCAGCCTTTTAAAAGTATTAACTTTTTCCTAGTATTATTAGAAAGATTAGTTCTTCTTTTAGTAATAATATTACTAGAAGAATTAAAACTACTTTCTACTGCAGCAGAATTAGGAGGTATAGCTAGGTATTTTCTAGCTAATATAGATAAAATAGGGAATTTCTCTATATTATTTTTCCACCAGTCTAAGGAATTAGCCTATTTAATAGTTAGTAAGTATTATAGTATATATATATATAAATATATATTAATAAAGTATTATAATAAGCTAATAATTAAAAACTTAAAGATTAAAGTATTATAACTTTATAAATATAATATATTACTTATATATATAAGTAATACTATATATATTATAATATAGTATAATATATATATATATATAAAATAAGTAAAGTAATATATATATATAAATTAAGTAAAGTAATATATACTATATTAAATTATAATAAAAATAGATTAATATAAAGAAAAATATATAAAAAGTCTAACTTACTTTATTTCCTATAGGGGGTAAATTATAATAGTTTTCTAATTCATTTTCCCTTATTTTAGCTGCTTGTTGTTTACTTTAAATAGGATAAAAATCTTTAAATTCCTTAGGCTTAGGTTTAGAAATAGGTATTTGTAATTTTGTTTTACTTATAGGCCCTTCTCTAGGTTTAGATAGGTCTATAGTAAATTTAGCTGCTTGTTTACTACTACTAATAGTAGGTAAATCAGTAGAAGAATCTAAATTATAGCTATTATCCTTAATTTTAATAGTTTTATTTAAACTAGGGATATATAGCTCTTCTTTATTATTTCTTTCTAAATCTCTTAAGATTTTCTTTTTTAGTCTAGTAGATATATATTAGTATTAATAGTATATATATATATATTACTAATATATAATATAATAGTAGTATCTTTAAGTTTTAAAATTACTTACTGTCTATATTCTTCTTTAAGATCCTTTTTTACTTGTTCTTCTAACCAAGCTGGTAAATAAGGCTGTAAATAAGTATTATTAAGAAACTATTTAATATTCCACTTAGGCTTTAATATAGATCCTATTATATAAGGCTTATATTTATTATAATTTCCTTTTGTAATAGGTAGAGGAAAGTAATTATTAAGCTTATTTCTTCCTATTTTTATAGCCTCTATATAGTGCTTAGCATAAGGGTCTTGTAGCTTATTACTCTATAAAGTATATTAGTATATTAAGGTTTTTTATAATATTACTAAAAGTATAATAATACTTATAAATATAAATATAAATATATATATATTTATATATATAAATATAGTAATAAAAGTAAAATATAGTATATATAAAGTAATAACTTACTAAATCCCCTATAATAGGCTTATCTTGCTCTATATAATAGTTAAGCTCTCTTTCTAATGTTAAATTAATATCTGTAACCTAAAATAGTAATTTATCTATAGTAGTAAAGGTTTGATATTGCATCTGTATAGTAGGGGCATAAAACGCCTCTAGTAGATCTTTAATATGCTGTAGTTGAAGCCAATTTCTTGGAACTATAGCTTTAAATATAGCGTTTTTAGTACTAGATCTTAAAGTATCTAAAGCTGGTTGTAATTCTAGAGCAGTATTAATCATAATATATACTGAATTCCATCTAGTATCATTACCTATAAATTTATTAGTTAGTTAATAAAGGTTAAGGTTATATAATAACTTAAATATAAAGATATTAAATATAATATATAATAATTTACTTATAAAGAGGTATTTTAGTTTTATTATAGTTATAAGGTATAGTAGGATCTTCTAGTTCTTTATTATATTTAATAGCTTGAAAAAATTCTTTATATAAGCTATTATTATTCTTAAGTAATATTGCTATTCTTTTAATAGCACCTATAATATCTATTTAAATAGTAATTAATAAATATTTAATTCCTTATTAAGTTATTATTTAAAGTGTTATTAACTTACTAGTAGTTGCTTTTAATACTTTCTCTTTTTCTATATTATTTAATTCTTTTATTTCTCTATTATAATAATTAATAATAGCTATATTCTTAAAGTCTTTAATAATAGTATCTTCAGTAGATAAATTAATAAAGGTATTAACAATATCTTTAGCAACAATATTAAATACGTGTGTAGCACACCTAATATTAAAAATATTATTATTATAACTTATTTTATAGTTATTAATAATATTAGATAAAAAGGTATTATTATTAGCGCCGTTATCTCTAGTAAAGCTAGTATATAAAGTTAGTATATAAATCTAAATTATTTAAATTAATAACTTAAAGATTATTAAATATATTAATATAATAATATTTAATACTTACCTTATAACTCTATTAAAGGGAATATTATAGGTCTCTATAATATTAGACTTAAATACTTTACTAAGATATATACTAGTATATGCATTATCCAAAGCTTCAAATCCTAGAATTAATATTAGTAAATATTAAAATAATATTATAATATAAATAATATAAGTTTAAA